TTTTAACAGTTCTTTTTTTGTGTGTGTTTTTGTTTACTTGTTTTGTCTCTTCTTTAGGACACTAGAGAGGGGGAAAAGGGAAGATGTCATAAAAGTAAACCCATGCTCATGAAAAACAAGAAAAGTATAAAATAGTGGTGGTTGAGTGGGGGAAAATAACCCATAATCTCTCTCTCCAGAAGCAACAACTTTAACAGCATTGGCTTTCTTGATATTTCTTCTGTACTTTGTTTTTTTCTTCACATTTGTAAAAACAGCATTGACGGCCATTTTTTTAACATAGTACATTGTATCAGAGGAATCCTCCATGTCATTGAAAATACTCTAATATTTTAAGTGGCTGTTGACTCATGTCCATTATTTAGATATACTGTTATTTATTTGTTTCCCTGGCACTGGATATTTACTTTTTTTATGGTTTGCTTTAGAAATCATGTTGTGAACATCTTTGCACATGAATCATTTTGCCTACGTAGATTTACTGCAACAAAGAGCATGGATATTTTTTTCGGCACTTGGTACACTTGGCAAAGTTCCTAAAAGTTGGCCAGTTGTCAGTTAAATGCCCTGTGGTAGTGAAGGTTATGTGCCAATTTGGCTGGGCCTGGTTTTGAGTGGCTGGGCAGCCGGATGTAGTTATTCCCCTGGAGAGACTGGTAATCCACTCCCTGGTGGAATCTACTGGAGCAGCTGAGTGGCTCCCTTAGGGATGTGGTCTCCTTCCAGTAGATCAGGAGAAGCCTTGAGAAGGTCTGCATCTTTTTGACATGCTTGAATCCCGCATGTAGCCAGGAAGCATTCAGGAGCCTGCCATATTGTCTGCTGATACAAGGACTGTGCATTTTCACTTGTCGACCTTGGGTTTGTCAGCCTCGGCAGCCAGCAGCTGCCTGAGTGAGGAAAGCCTCCAGCTTCAGTGGCCAAGAGGCAGAGCTGAAGCCCAAGGTCGAGGAGCTTTCACCCAACCCCTAGAGCCTGGTGCTTTGAACTCGGATTTCTAGGCTCCAAAACTGTAAGAGAATAAATCCCTGTTTGTTAAAGCCACCCATTTGTGGTATTTTCTGTTGGAGCGTCACTAGAGGTAACCAAAACATGCCCCTAACATTCTACTATGGAGATGTGGCCTGGTTTCTTAATGTTTTCTTGTAATTTTGGGGAGATGGCTGGCCCCCCCACCCTTCCTAGTCACCACCCAGGGTCCTGAGGCAGGCGTTCTTTGCCGCTTTCCCTGTTGAGACAGCGATACCCACATAGGCTGGTCTAAAACTGTGGGGCCTCTTGGTGGCAAGACTTGGGTCTTGTCTGTTTCGTTGTCCCCAGTGTCTGGCATCCCCTAAGCCCTGTTCTTCCTCTTGCAGCTCCCTGCCCTGGAGGACAGGCTCAGCACCCTGCTTGCCCCAGTCATCATCTCCTCGATGACAATGCTGGAGAAGCTCTCAGACACGTATACCTGCTTCTCAACAGCAAGTGACAACTACCTGTATGTCCTTCACCTGGTGAGTGTGTAGCACGGGGGCCATCTCCCTCTTTCCTTAGCCCCTTGGGGAGCCACACAGCTGTGCTTTATCTTGGACTTTAGACTCTTTTGAAAGGCAGAAACTGCATCTTATCAGAATCCCCAGCCTCTCCTCAGTATCCCCAGGGGGCAAGGCAGGTGAAAGGAGGGCTTCTGGGGTTGGCTCACCTTGGTCGAGCTGTGCCTACAGTTTGAAGAATGCCTGTTCATTGCCATCAATGGAGATCACACGGAGAATGAGGGGGACCTGCGGCGGAAGCTACATGTGCTCAAGTACCTGGTCGAGGTGCACTTTGGACTGGTTACCGTGGACAGCCAGCTCATCCGAAAGGAGTGAGTCCTCACAGCTCGTCCCCTCTGTGCCCTTTGCTGAGCACCCAAACGATGTGCACCCAGCTTACGTGACGCTGCTGTTCCACACTCTGCCCCTGGCTGGGTCGCTGGGTCAGAGAAGCAGAGCTCCAAGGAACCTTGGAGATCGTTTGGTCCAACCCTCCCATTTCACAGCTGGGGAAATTGAGGGAAGAGAAGTTAAATAACGTGCCCAGGGCCACCCAGCGGGTGGTAGGTTACACCCAGCCCAGAATCAGAGCTCAGGGCCGCTAGTCCGGCGCTCTTCCTGCTGCAGCGTCAGCTCTCTGTCATCACAGACCTTGCTGAACGCATCCTCTCCAGCTTCCCAAAGACACTTAGACTCCCTCTTCAGGGAAACACATGTGCACACACCCATACACCACCTGTGAACAGTTTTTCTGAGGGATCAGACCCCTGACACCCCTCTCTGGGCTCACAGCAAAGAACACATGAAAGAGAATGGTGTGCAGAGCATACCCTCAGGTGGGAAGGAGCCCAGAAAAGGAGCTCAGTTGGAATGTGGACTCAGGAGACAGATTCTTGGTGGGGTCACCCTGAGTCTCACAATGAGTTGGGAAGTTGCCAAGTTGGAAACATGAGTCTTTTGAGCTGTAGCAACGTGAGCAAGCACCCATATCAAATTGGCAAATATCATTTCATGAGTCACTTTAGCCCAGGTGGGTGATGGTTTTAGCATTGGAGCTGGTTGCAGCCCTGGCATGGTCCTGACCAGCGAACCTCTGGGAGAAGTGAGAGGTCTAGAAAACTGAGGCGCCTTCCTGGCCCTCTGTAGCTGACCTTGTCTCACATGTCTGAGTATGAGAGAGACTGAGAAGTTAGCAGTTTGCCGACTCCTGGTCTGTGCTTATGCCCCTACACTCCATGGCCTGGGCCCAGCCAGAATCATGGGCTCTTTGGTGGCTTGTGGGCTCCCACAGTTACTTGGGCACATCCCAAGAGCTCTTCCAGCTCTGTAGGTGACATGGGACTATGGTCACTTGGGTTGGGGTTGAGAGTAACCAGCTTTCTCATGATCTCTCCTGGTCTCTTGGGCTTTGCCCCCAGGCTGCGGCCTCCAGACCTGGAGAGGCGCAACCAGGTGTGGGCGCACTTCCAGAGCCTGTTGTCGACCTACAGCCGCCTGCGGGAACAGGAGCAGTGCTTCGCCGTGGAGGTGACTACCGGGTGACTGCCAGGGGTGGGAGGCCTGCCTTTCAGGTGCTTATCAGCTGCTGGGAAAATCAGTCCCTACTTTGGAAATGATACATATGTACTAAAAAAGTACCATGAAGTGTCCTGGGTGCCTTATTAGATTTATCTTCAAAATCCATGGTGGTGCGAAGGATGAGAACATCAACTCTTTCTCAGGTTATCAGAAAAGGCTTCCTGGAGGAGGTGACTGAGTACAGTTAAGAGCCAAACTCCTTCCTTAACGCTCCAGATCCTGTATAATCTGGCCTCTGCCTGTCACATTCCAGCTTCACCTTTTGCCTCTGTCCCTCGCTCACTGTGCACTGGCCACATAAGACTTCTTTCCATATGAATATGCTATGTTTAGCTCTGTCCAATATGTGCCACTATATTGGTGGTGTAGTGCCTAAGGCATTTGACTGCTAACCAGAAGGTTGGCTGTTCAAACCCACCAGCCGCTCCGCAGAAGGAAGATGAGGCAATCTACTTCTATAAAAATTTACCGCCTTAGAAACCCAATGAGGGTTGCTATGAGTCAGCATTGACTCGATGGCAGTGGGTTTAGTTTTTATTGAATTTCAAGCCACACTTTCTATGTGGCTAGTCCAAATTGAGTTGCGCTCAAAGTGTAAAATACACACCACATTTTTATGACTTCGTATAAAAAAATAACAGTTAATCGTTAATAATGTAATGTTTTTATATTGTATGTTGAAATCGTAATATTTGGGGTATATTGGGTAAAATAAAGTACATTATTAAAACTAGTTTCATATGTTTCTTTCTACTTTGTTAATGTGCTACTAGAAAATTTTAAATTATGCACAGGACATACCTTATATTCCAATTGAATGGCACTGCTCCAAACTCTCCCTGCCTCAGGGCCTTTGCGTATGCTATTTTGTTTTGCTTTGTTTTTCCTCTGAATTTGCCGCATTCTCTCTCTCCCTCTTTCTCTGGTGTGCTTTCTCAGTCTTTAGATATCACCTTAAAAGGTCACCTGAGGTACACCTCTTTGATCACCTGACCTGAAGTAGGTTTCTGTCCTTCTTGTCTAGTCAAGTACTGTGCTTTCCCACCTCGCACTTCTTAGAGTTGGCACTACCATGTCTGCTTCCTTGTACAGTGCCTGTCTCATCCACTGGAGTCTAGCGACCAGACTGTAAGCCCCAGGAAGGCAGGGACCCTGTGGTCTCAGACTCTCTGGTCCCCACTGTCTGGTACATGGTATGAGCTCAGTGTGGATTGAGTGTGCCTACTAGCCCAGGGCCTGGAGAAGGGAGAGGGTGGTCCGTGACATGGCATCCTCTCCCTGCCCCATGGACAGGCCGTGGAGCGGCTGACCCACCCCCAGCTCTGTGAGTTGTGCGTAGAGGCACTGGAGCGGCATGTCGTCCAGGCTGTCAACTCCAGCCCCAGGCGGCCTGGTGAGGAGGCCCTGCACGCCTTCTTGCTTGTGCACTCCAAGCTGTTGGCCTTCTACTCCAGGTGAGCCATGGCCTAGCCCCTGGTGACCTGAGGGCCCTAGCTCTTACACTTGCCCATCCTATTCCCTGGACCCCAAAACACTGCCTTCCCCAGTAAAGAAAGCCTCAGGACCCATCTCTTCCACAAAGCCCAGAGTCTTCAACTCTTCACCCCTTCTTGTGTCTCTCTCTTTCTCTGAAGCATTTCTTTTTGGAACACTGTCTTAGAAATAAATTTAGGAGAACTACCTTCCATGTTATTACTGTTTCCAGGTTGTTTCCTGTTGCTATTGCTTTTTTTTTTTTTAAACACTGTCAAGTTTTATTTTTTAAATGGATAGATTAATTGTATTTATACCTTGCCTTTCTCCAAAAAGGCTTAAGTCTGCTGAGGTATTTGTAAACTCCTTGCGGGTAGGGAGCTTGCCTTGGATGCCCCGACCTTCTTGACCCCACAGCACTGTCACTTTCCTGGGTGGAAGCACCAGCTGTTGCTGCCTCACCTCCTTGTTCTGTCTTCACAGCCCGAGCGCAGGCTCCCTGCGCCCTGCAGACCTCCTGACCCTCATCCTCCTGGTGCAGAACCTCTACCCCAGCAACAGTGTGGCACAGGCCGATGATGCACAGGTCTTGGGGTGCTCCCACTCCCGGGGCAGTGGAGGCCGTGAGGGGGACAGCTCAGAAAGCCAGTCTGGACAATGGAGGACGGGCTGCCTGGGGAGGGCATGGTGTCCAAGTCCCAGTTCTGGGCATGTGAAGGAGCATGATTTTTCCCTCTGTTTTCAGATGTTAAGGGGGTTTTGTGGAATGCATATGGTGCAGGTTAAAAGTGCAGATTTGAGGAGTCAGATGGTCCTGGTTTGAATCTCAGCTGCCCCACTTAGCCAGCGGTGTGATGTGGACAAGTCCCTGCCGCTCTGAGGCTCAGTTCCCTTATCTGCACATGGGGCTAACGTTGGCATCTTCCTCTCGGGGTTGTTATGAGAAATAGAAGGGGTGACTCACATACAGCCCAACAGTGCCTGGGGTGTAGTGAACACTCAGGTGAGTCACCACCATCACCATTGTCATCTTCGTCCACTGTAGTAGTTGTAGAATCGGAAATCCCAGAGAGCTGGAATTCCTGGAATCTCAGTGGTTCTGGAGAAATACTAGACCACCTAGAATGGAAACCCCCAGGGAAGCTGGGAAGTCTGAGGACCCTGCCCAGGGCTGCGCACTGGGGCAGGGTGGAGGGCCCTGGCTCTCTGCTCTCAGGGCTTTTCTGTGAAATGCTGGAAGGTCCAGGGCTGATGCAGAGGGGCCGGTCAGAGGGGCGCTAACAGGCTTCTCCCTGCCCCATCATAGCCTCCCCCAGCGCGGCCCCGGAGCAGCCAGAACATCCCGGTGCAGCAGCCCTGGAGCCCTGGCTCCACACACCAGGCCAGGAGGAGCTCTACAGAGACGGTGTGTGCACACGCTGCGCGGGAGGAGAGGCAGACCTGCCTCACCTGTGTGGCCAGGCCTTTCCCCGGGAAAGCAGGGTCCAGGGTTGAGCCAGCCAGGTGATCTCCCAAGTCCTCAGCCTGAGCTGCCCTCTTCTCCCTCCCAGGAGACAGACAGCTTCCCTGAAGAGTACTTCACACCAGCTCCTTCCCCTGGCGAGCAGAGCTCAGGTGAGGGGTGTGGGGGTGAGGGCAGGAGGCCAGGTGGGCTGTGTATATATATATATATATATATATATATATATACGGATCAGCAGCCCCAGGGATTCTGCCTTGGGGTTTAGTGGCCCTCCACACCTTGCCCAGTTCCGGGCACAGACACTCAAATTCGTCGGAGATTTTTCTCCCCAGAGCATAAGATGCAGACTTCAGCTTCCTGTCTGTCTTCCCTGCTAGCACCAGCTTGAGCTCAAAGACATTTTAAGGCCACTTGCATGTTTCCTAAGGCTGTGGCTTCAGTTTTCCTTTTTGCAATTGACTTAATAATAATGAGGTAAAATTAAGTAATAATCATTTTATTTAAAGTGCATTTTTTAAAATACAAATATCCACTCTGTAGTTAGGAGCTCTGGAGATATAGTGGTTAAGTGCTTGGCTGCTAAAAGTCCATAGTTCGAACCCACCAGCCCTGCCCTGGGACAAAGATGAGAGGCATTCTGCTTCTGTAAAGATTTACAGCCTTGCTCACCCACAGGGCCAGTTTTGCTCTGTCCTGTAGGGTCACTATGAGTCAGAATTGACTTGACCTCAGTAGGCTATAATTTATACCAATAAAAAGAAAAACAATGTCATTAACAAACAAATCAGTGTTGCTTAGACAAATAGGTAAGCCAAAACCCAGACTACTGTGGTCACTGAGCATGACATCTAACCCTGAGTTTCTTGGGAGAAGGCTGGATTATGTGGTTTGCATCATGTATTAGAAGGAAGAAGGCCGGGGGTCAGGAGGAGAAGCATCTTGGGCTGAGTTTGAAAGGCATTTACCGTGCGGCTTCCTGAAACCGGTAGTTCTTAATCACCTGGAGAACTTCAGCCAGGCCAGTTACAGTGGCCAGACCTGGGGCCCAGGTGTGAATACTCTGAAATCCCCCCCACATGGGTCCAGTGTATAGCCAGGATGTGACCACCTCTCTGCACAGATTTGCCGCTAGTCTAGGTGCAGTTAGACTAGGCTGGCGAGCTTTAAAAATGCAAGCAGTCCCCAGGTTGCGAACAAGATCAGTTCTGTCTTTAAATGGAACGGGTGCATATATAGTTCTTATTTAACCTGCAAGAAAAGGCTCGATGCATTTTAACTGATCTAAAAGCTGCACATGCAGCAAGTGAAGGTGATTGGGATGAAGAATCTGTTGTGAGTAAGGAGTTGGTTCGATCATTGAAAACTGAGGGAAAATTTACATAACGTTAGAAGGCAAGTGTGAGTTGTTAGTAAGTCTGATATTCATAACCCAGGGACTTACTGTACTGAAGCTGGCCCTGAGGCCAGAGAGTCTGACTTAATTGGTGCTGGAGTGTGGCCTGGGCATCAACAGTTTTAAAAGGTCCCCACAAGATTCTCCTGTGCAGCTAAGGTGGAAACCGCTGGGCTGAATGTTCTAAACCTGCAGTCCTTGGACAGGCTTCACGGAGCCTGGGACCCTGAGATTGTGCGTCATCTCGTACATGCTCCCCGTAGCTTTCCTCCAATTCGCCACACGCTCCGTGAGCCCAGAACATGGTGCATTTGGGTGACCTCTGAAGTTTTCATCTTCTTACTGCTCCCTCCCTCATCACCATCATCCTCCCACCCCTATCTCTCAGTGGTGTTTCCTCTATCTCTGGGCTGTAAATAATGCCATCCCACAGCCAAAACTCACAACTTGGAAAAAGTGTGAGCTGCACTCGTCCATCTATAAATCAGAAACACGTTTGTCAGGAGAAACATGGCTGTGAATGGTGGTTACTCGTTGCCACCGAGTCGATTCCCACTCATAGCAACACCCATTGGGTTTCTGAGGCTGTAACTCTTTACGGAAGTAGGTCGTCCCATCTTCCTTCCATGGAGCAGCTGGTGGGTTTGAACTGCTGACCTTCTGGTTAGTAGCCAAGTACCTCCTTATGCCACCAGAGCTCCTTTAAACGGTCGTTATTTGCAGTGAGATATAATAACAGTATTATTATAAGTATGTAATATTTTGAATATGCAGTGGGTTCAGTAGGTTTTCATGAGCTATTAAGAAAAAAAAAAAAGCTCACTGCCATTGAGTCAGATCCGATGCATAATGACCCCTCCTCAGGTTTCCAAGGCAGTATCTCTACAGAAGTAGATTGCCCCATCTTCCTTCTGAGGAATGGCTGGTGGGTTTGAACCTCCAGCCTTCTGGTTAGCAGTCAAACACCTTAGGCACCATGCCACCAGAGCTCCTGAAGGAAACCTACCTCAACTCCTGCACATGCTTAGTAAGGTTTGCTGATTGAATAAATTAATGAGGAAAATGCAGACAATCTGCTTCCCTAGTGACACCACCTCGGAAACCCAAGGAGGGGTCACTGTGAGTCGGATCTGACTCCACGGCGGTGAGTTTGGGTTTTTTGTTTGTTTGTGCTGCTCCCAGGTGCTCCTCTCTTACACCTTCTCTATGGGGTCTCTGAGGGAGCCCTGGGGGTCCAGTGGTTAAGTGCTCAGCAGTTCAAACCCACCAGGAGCTCCATGGGAGAGAGATGTGGCAGTCTGCTCCTGTAAAGATTTACAGCCTTGGTAACTGATAGGACAGTTCTACCCTGTCCTACGAGGTCTCTGTGAGTCGGAATCAACTTGACAGCAGCAGATACCGGCTGGAGTCCCTGGTGGTGCAAATGGTTAATGCACGCCGCTCCTAAGCAAAAGGTTGGAGGTTGGCGCCCACCCAGAGGCACCTTGGAAGAAAGGCCTGGCAATCTACTGTATTTTTGTGCAAATAATACATGCATTACACATTTTTGCATACCATACAACACCCATGTGTTATTTTCCTAAGCACACTGTACAAATATCTCTTTCACATTAATGACTTTTTTTTTTTCAATTTTTTTTTCTGTCTAATGGATTTAATGTTAAGTCTTCATCTTGGTGCCTGTTGACGTGGAGGTTTGGTTCCCAGCAGCAGACCTTCACCAGCCTACCCTCAAGTTTCTAAAGCAGCCCTTCTCCCAGCAGGATCCCTTCCCTGGCCTGCAAAACCACTTTTTCCAGTGCAGGAAGAAACCACTTCTTCCATCCCAGAAACAGCCCTCAGTAGCACAGCTGGCCCCAGGTTGGGAGGAACAAGGGTCTTTGTACTCTGGCCCAGAGAGGCCACTCAGGTGGGTGAGGCTGGCACACTCACAGCCACACACCTTCTGCCGCGCCATGTGGCTGGCTGACCATCATGGTCTGGTGGTTTGAATCTCCTGCTTGCGTGGATGCCGCAGGGTGGGTGTGAGAGCCATAAGCAGAGAGGGCTCCTGTATCCCTTGCTCCCTGCTCAGATGAAACAGGTCCTAATGGCCACCAGAGCTGGGACATCGTGCGCCCACTCTGTACCATTCTGCCACCTGGCATTGTGTGCGGCCAGCACTGCAGGACCTAGGTACACGTGGGCAGCGGCCCTCTCTGCCTGCTGTGGGACGAGCCTGTACTCCAGCTACGGCAGCTCTGCACGCAGCCCTCCATCTCAGGCACACCATTTGCACCGGGGGCAGATCAGCTGCAGGAACTGCACTGCACTCAGGCCCAGCTATGAATGGCCCCGGAACAAATGCACAGTTTCAGTTGTTTTACTTTCTGGTTACCAGGGTACTTCCAAACTCGATCCATGACTTCTTAACCATGGCTTATACCTTTACTATAGAGATATGATCAAAAGTGGGAGCTCTGGTAGCATAGTGCCTAAGGCACTTGACTGCTAACCAGAAGGCTGGCGGTTCAAACCCACCAGCCACTCCTCAGAAGGAAGGTTCGGCAATCCTACTTCCGTAGTGATACTGCCTCAGAAACCCAAGGAGGGGTCGCTATGAGTTGGGGCCGACTCGACGGCAAATAACAACAACAACATGATCAAAAGTGACATTTTTGGATTATTGAATGAGGATGAATAAGGCCAAAATTCACTTCTGGAAATACCACACAACACGTGCTGTGTAGGCCTGGGTGCACTATGCCAGAACTTTTTTACGTAATTGTGTCATTTCCCCGTCACGTGTGTGTGCACAGTACTTACATGGGCACAAAAACTTCCAAAAGATCAGCCATTGAAAACTGTATGGAGCACAGTTCTTTTCTGACATAGATGGCGTCACCATGAGTCAGAATCAACTCAACAGCCAGTCAGGGAGGGGTCTGTAGGAATAGAGGGTGGGGAGGGAGGTTAAAGGGGTGAAGACAGGGGTGCTGAGGGAGTGGCCGTACCACCCCTGTTGCTGGTTGTATCTTTAGAGCTGTATTCCCAGTGGCCATTCCCAGTGGCCACAGCTGCCAGCTCCGTGGAAGCTTCTGGCTGCTTTGCCTGGGGCTGTTACTGTTGGCAGCACTTGCCAGCTGGGGTAGGATGGGATACGCTGCACTCTCCCACACTGAGGTGCCTCTGCCGCTGCCTGGTGCTTCAGGACTGACTGGCCGGGGAGCCTCCTATCTCCACCCCTCCCCTTCTGACGTCCCACTGCTCACACTGTCGTTGCCTGTGGCCTGCAGGTAGCACCATCTGGCTGGAGGGGGGCACTCCACCCAGTGATGCCGTCCAGATCCAGGTGAGTGTCTTCTGAGAAGGAAGGCTCCCCCTGCACTGATTGGTCTGAGAGGCTACGGGCGGGGTGGGGGGGGCACTAGGGATTCAGGGCTTAGCCTCCGGGGGGCTCCACCAGGGCCAGCCTTCCTCCTGCCCCTCAAGGTCAGTCATTGCAGGGGTGGGGGATATGTGAAGGGTGACCTTACGCCACACTCTCCCCCAGGAGCTGGTCTCAACTCCTGCTGAATTCCACCCTCCTCACTATTTTTAAGAGTGAAAGTCCAGTTTAATTGTTAATGTTTTTGTAAATGAGAAAGTAAATGTATTCCTTGTAGAAAAATTAGAAAATATAAAAGTAAATTATGGAAAAAAGAATGAAATTCCCTCTCAGTCCCACCCCCAGATAGTAACTACTATGCATATTTTGGGGGTATTTCCTTCCAATCTTTTTCCCTGTGATTTTATGTGTACACATACAAACTCTTTTTTCTTTTCTTCCCCCACCAAATTTGAATCATAATGAAATTCATTACTTTCTTCTCTAGTCATTTTTCCGTTTACTAAGCATTCTTGAGCAGTGTGATTTTTGATGATAGTCCACCACACGGGTGTGTTATTTTTTTTAGCAGCCTCCCTGAGTTGACTGGTAGATCATTTCTAGTTTTTTACTGCTTTTCCTAACATGTCTTAATAGACATTATTGTGTCATCCTTAGTGATCTCTAGTTTTTCCTACTAAAGGCTTTCCTACTCAGAATCCTCCCTGAGGCTGGAAGGTGGCTCACGTTCGTCGCTGTGTGCCTCAGTTGCCCCACCTGGGCAGTTGGAATGGCTGCATGTTCTGAGAGTGATTGAAACATCAGGATGTTACTTAACTTTAAATACTTTCCTCTAATTGAAGGCATGTTGAGGGCATGTCCTCTCCCCATTCCACTGCTGTCTGTTTCTCCTGCCTCTTTGCTCCCTTCTTTACCACCCACCTCCAGCTCCGACACCCTAGCCCACTTGGCATCCGCTCCTGACTGCAGTGGAAAAATCTAGAAGATGCTGAGAGCGACAGTAGCAGAGCTGTGGCTGCTAGGGTGTTTGCAACAGATCTGGGATTCTTTGAAGTCAAAGTCTGTGTTCCTCCATGGGTCACGGGGAACGCAGCACATGGGCGATGTGGGTGGATCCGACTTGGGGATCCAGGTGGCCCTTCCTTCCTCCCCACCACTCCCTAACAGCTCCTCCTTCCTGGTAGGTGGGCGAAGACACTCTGCAGACGCTGCTTCCTCCCTCCCCGGCAGCATCCAGGTCTCTAAGGATCTTCCTGGATACCACCATAAAAGACAGCTACTGCCGCATGGTGCCCCACACCCTGTATTGCCTGCCCCTGTGGCCGGGCATCAACATGGTGCTCCTGACCAAGGTACCAGGGCCCTCACCCTGCGCTGGCGACCCCAGGGCCTGAACACCTGCTCTCCCAGCCGCCCCATCCTACCCAGCCCTGTGCTTTCTCCCCAGAGCACCAGCAACGGCCTGGCCCTGGCCCTGGCCCAGCTGCTGGATGGGTTTACCCAGCTGGAGAAGAAGATAAAGGAGGGTCAGGAGGCCAGGGGTACAGAGCTGCGCCAGAGGATGGACAAGTTTGTCAAGAATCTAGGGGGCCAGGAGATTCAGGTGAGAGCCGGGTCCCTGGATGCGCCCAGCCTTAGAGGCAGGCAAAGGTGGGCCCGCAGCCCTTGGTCTATCAGATGAAGGGCCAGAGATTCCAGGCCCCTGTCTCTGCTCCACCTCTGGTTTCTGATCCCCTCATCCCCCTGGTGAAGGGATGGTAACCAAATCTCATGTTGTTAGCTGCCATCTGGTCAGTTCTGACTCTTCACCACCCCATGTGTGGACCTGCCCCATAGGGTTTTCCTGGCTGTGATCCTAACATGGAGATTCCCCAGGGCTTTTCTTCCACAGGACCGCTGGGTGGGCTCGGACCACCAACCTGCAGGTTTAGCAGCCGAGCACAGACCATCTGCGCCACCTGGTTTGCAGAACAGTTTCATTTCATTTTGAGTTTCACCAAACACGAGTTGCAGATTCTGTTTTATAAACAGGGAAACAGGCTCCGATAGATGGTGACGTGGCTGAGATTACTCAGCTGGTGAACTGTGGGGCCAGAACCTGAATCCCAGCTCTGGCCTTCGGGCAGTGGTCCACCTCCACACCCACCAGGTATCCTCACCTGGTTTGGCCAGTGCACCGGCCTGTGGGGAGGACAGAGATGCACATGGCAGAGTCAGCCCCCAGGCCCGGGAGCTCAGAGCCCACAGGGAGATGAGACAGAGCTGTGAGCTATAGAAACCAGTCCAGATCGAAGCTCAGAGCTTAGTCCAGAGAGCCGAAAGCAGACCGCCAGGTCTAAGCAGCTAGGGCAGTGTCGTGCTTCTGATAGCACTTGGGTCTGTTAGAGCAACTGCAAGTTCCTGTGGCTACCGTGTGGGCTGGTCTGAAACAAGCAGGAGGATTGGAAGAGGCAGAGCAGGCAAGGAAGCCCCGTGGCCTTTTTATTTGAGGAGCCCAGCAGCTAGGTGTCCTGCAGGGCTCCGAGGCAGCACATGGGGTCCAGGGTTCTCACTGTCTAGGAGACACCACTCAGGCATCGCGGTGGCATAAAGCCTTCCCTGAGGCCGGCAGCAGCCGCCGCAGCCCACTCTGCATCCCAGCCCCCTGCCCTGTGCTCACTCACCCTGGAGACTCACCTCAGCACCCTGACATCGCGTCTGCCCTGCTAGACAGTGAGCCCCAAGTCTAGCACAATGCAGGGCCCCCAGGAATTGCTCTTTAAATAAGAGTGACTGGTGTGCTAGGCACAGTGGGCAGGGTCTGGGGGGCGTGCTGGAGAGGCCAGCATGGGCAGAGTGAAAGCAGACTCGTGCAACACCAAAGCCGCCTGGTCCCTGCTTGGCAGCAGTGTGGAAAGGGGTCTGCATGGGGCCTCACTGTGGGAACATGGTCAGGAAGCCACCCTGTCACCTGTCCTTACAGAGCACCTGGCTGGAGTTTAAGACCAAGGCCTTCTCCAGAAGTGAGCCAGGATCGTGCAGGGAGTAAGTAGTGGCCCTGAGACGGGATGTGCCCCTTGGACACCAAGTTTTTTCCCTAGGCCTAGAAGGAGAGAATGCCCCAGAAGGAGCTTATGTGTGAAGTTAGGCCCTGTGAGGGCTGGAAGGGTGGGGGAAGCAGAGGGGCCTAAGGAGCCCAATACTGTACAGGAGAAAGGCCCGCTTTAGCGCTGACTTGGGGGTGGCCTCGAGCAAGGCACTTCCCCTACTTTATTGGTGAATGATGAGAGTACGTGAGATGCCATGCGACAAGGAGATTGCATGCCACAGGCATGGAGCACGGTGCTGGAAGTCCTGGCCCCCTACAGGTGAACGGTTTTGCTCAGCTCTGTCTCGTGGTACGGGAGCAGGGGTTACCCGTGCCGTGGGGACAGGCACTCTCCCAGGCCTCATCCCACTGTGACACTCTCGTCCCCTGGGCCAGGCTGCTCCAGGCTTACAGGAAGTTGAAGCAGCAGCTCTGTGCCATCTACCGCTTCAGCTTCCTGAGCACAGTGCCGGGCCAGGGCGGTCCCCATCTGCCCCAGCCCCTGCAGGACCAAGCCCAGAAGCTCATGCAGTAAGTGGGGTGTGGCCACCTGACTGCCCGGGGCAGGAGCAGGGACACGGCTCACGGTGGCCTGTGCTGCCCCTGCTTGCCTCTGCAGAGAAAAGCTAGCCGACTGGAAGGACTTTCTGTTGGTGAAGAGCCAGCGGAACATCACCATGGTGTCATATCCTGCTGCCTAAGCCCCAAGCCCATCCAGGCAAGCGACGGTGTCTGGGTGCCCCTTCTGCCTGCTCTCTGTGCAGGAAGCTAGAGGAGGGAGAGTTATGGTATGCCTCCTCAGTTTCTTTTCTCAGAAGAAAATTAATAGAAAGTAGCATCCCAGAAGATGGGGCAATCTACTTCCATAGTGATACTATCTCGGAAACCCAAGGAGAGGTTGCTATGAGTCGGGTCCAACTCGACGGCACATAACAACAACAACAACAACAGCATCCCAGAATCTTGTCTGTAGGTACACTCTGAGGCTGCAATGTCAGAAGTTCCTGTTGTCCCAAAGGGAATTCATAAAAGCCTCAGCGATCCTTTTTGTCATTGTTTCCCAACCAGCAAAAAGGTAATAGGTACTGCACGTGGATGGCAGTGGTGGGCTTTCTGTGGTCTGTGGGTTTGACAGATATCTCCTTCCTAGAGCCCTGCTATGCACATGCTAAGGTTCTGAGAAGTCCTGTGGTAAATATGCTTATCCCTTTTCATAAAACCATTTTCAAGTTTATTTGACCCTTTTATTGTAGAACACTAATTTTATTGAATACTAATTTTCCACGGAACTTTTTATGAAACAGCTTTTCCTATATTCAGATCTCTAAAGGGCCAGGCCTCAAGTCCCCTAAAAGTCATGTCGTCAGTAGGGCAGGTGAAAGGGATGCCCAAGGGTCTCTTTCTCCATCAGCCAGTGCCCTTCTGTGGTGTCTGCTCCCACTCAAGTGGAAGCTTTCTAACCTCAATGTGAAGGGTAGCGATGAACAAAATTGTGGTGAGGGGTGGAGGTTGGGGAGCCTGCTAGGCTCACTCGTTAGTTCTGTGGCTCTGCTGTTACATCAGCCTTACAGTGTGCATGATTCAAGCTCATCCCATGTTCCCGCAGGGTCCAAAACTGCCCATGTTGAGTGTACAAACATCAAGAATCTATTTACTTGGATCTTAGGACTTCTCAAGGCAGGCAAGTGGGGAAGTGAAGAGAGACCCTGGAGAGTAGGGAGACTGGGAGCTTGCATGAAATGGAACCCTATGGGAAAGGACAGGTGTGGCACACCTGGCCCTCTGAGCCCATTGCCCAGCAGGGCTGCCAGCCTAAAACAAGGACAGAGACATACCTTCCCTGGTTCCTGGCTTTATAAGCACCTTAACTCACCTCACCTACCTAGAAGACTTCCCAGGCTTGGTGCATTTCATTTACGTGGATCGCACAACTGGGCACATGGTGGCTCCTTCCCTCAGCATCAGTGAGAAGACTTCTTCGGAGCTGGGCAAGGGACCACTGGCTGCTTTCATCAAAACCAAGGTAACCTCTTCTTGCCCAGGCCTTTTCAGTGCCCACATATGGGATGTGTGAGGCCTGGACTTCCCTGAGAAAAACTAGCTGTTCTGTCCTCTGGGTTCCTGTTAGTGCACATATATGTGTATGTTGTGGCTAGGTAATTATTATATTATGTTAAGTTGTGTGTGTGTGTGTGTGTGTGTGTACACATGCAGACTTACTATATATATTTTTTCAAACACAGTGCATCATTATATTAAAATAAGGCAAGCGACAGATGGCTGTGTTTGAAGCCCAGCACTACCTCCCACTAGCTGTGAGCCCTTGGGCATCGTGTAGTCTAAGTTTTGGTTTCCTTTTCTGAAAAAGAGGATTGTACGGCACGTAACAGCAACAACAAAAAATGCTGTTTGCATCCTAGAGTTAGTGTGACAATTACACGTCTGCAAAATACTCAGCACAGTGTGGGACACCACCTTCCTCTCAGTTTCCCTTCTCCACGCAGTTACAGTGCTATCTAGGTACACTGCTTTTCATTGCTTTCTCTGCACTGTTTTCTGTAGTTGAGCTCTTTCTGTGTGGGCAGTTGTGTTTCCTGCATTTTCAACTCACATTATAAAATGCATTTTCTCATGTCATTAATTCTTTATAAACATGATTTTTAACAGCTCCACACCGGTCCATCAGGTGAATGGAGCATCATCCACGTAACCAGTTCCCAGTTGAACACTTGTTGTCTGCAGGCTTTCACTGTGATAAATTACCCCACAGCACACACCTCTGGGCATGCGTCTCTGTCCTCATCGCTGATTATTTCCTCAGTGTGGATTCCCAGAAATGGAATTACTCAGCCAGACAGGAGGAATCTTTCTAAGGTTATTAATACATGTTGTCAAATGGCTTTCTGAAAAACAGAGCAAACCCACGTATCTGTTTCCAGGTTTAATTAGGTATTGCATTATGATTGCATGTGGCGGGAATCGGGAATCCCTTCCACAAAGCTTTCTGGTGAGAGCGCTCATCCACCTGCTCCCAACCCCTGGGAGACAGGAGCGAGCCCACGCGTCCCTGCCGCATCCCTCTGGCAGTTTCCTGGCGGCATCGGGAGGGCCCTGCATCAGGCAAGAAAAGGCCGGGCAGGGGATCTGTGACGCCTCCTTCCGTGGTCACTAGGCCCTTGTGTGTCCTAGCTTAGACTTTCCTCCTGGAGCAGGGGACAGGTCTCCACATTCAGACTCACATCACCATGGAGCTGGAGGTGACCCTGGATGGCAGGAGGGGTCTCCAGATGGCCACACTTCGATCTCCAACAGTGATCATAATGTCCCTGGCTGTATTCTGACCTGAATGATTGGCGTACTAATTTGTGACTCACATGTAGCACATGAAAGTAATATAAAGTGTCTCTACATATATTTATCCTCTTCAGAGGGCAGCCCATCCATCTGTGCTGTAAAGATGTAGTTCAAGCTCCTACTCTGAGCCAAGGCAGTGGTGGCCCAAGCGCTAAGGAAGCAAATGAGGGGGAGGCCCCTGGCCTCAGGGAGCTCCTCATCCAGGAGCTTTTCTTCCTTCCCGTCAGTCTCAGCATTGTCTGGAGGTGGGAGCCCAGGCCACTGCTCCTGTGATAGGGAGCAGGCAGGCCATGAGGGCGGGCTGAGCACTCTCCTTCTCCCCAGGTCTGGTCTCTGATCCGGCTGGCACGCAGATACCTCCAGAAGGGCTACACCACGCTGCTGTTCCGGGAGGGGGACTTCTGCTGCTCCTACTTCCTGTGGTTCGAGAATGAGATGGTGGGTGAAGCCAGGTCCAGGGTAGGACATGCTGCAGTGCTCTTCCTTCCTGTATCCTTGGCTTCCTGTCTGAATTGTGTCAGGCTATCTCTTCACCTCTTCTTATCCCTGGAGGAAGGAAGGACAGATAAATACAGCTGGTCGGAACCCAGAACTCAGGGGCCGTTCTCACATGGGCCATTTAGCTTTCCTTTGTGATCCCTTGCACTTGTTTGGGAGCTCTGGTGGCATAGTGCCTAAGGCATTTGACTGCTCACCAGAAGGCTGGCGGTTCAAACCCACCAGCCACTCCTCGGAAGGAAGGTTGGGCAATCTACTTCCGTAGTGATACTGCCTTGGAAACCCAAGGAGAGGTTGCTATGAATCAGATCCGACTGGACAGCAGTAAGTTTGTTTTTTTTCAGGTTGTGATTCCTCCACCCAGCTGCCTGATAAATCATGCCATTGTTCAAGGCAGCGTCCAGCTAGGTGTGTGAACAGATCATCGGGGCCCCAGTGGGAAACCAAAACCAAACCCACTGCCATCAAGTCAATTCTGACTCATAGCAACTCCCATAGGCTTCCAAGGCTGTTAGTCTATATGGAAGCAGACTACTTCATCTTTCTCCTGCAGAGCGGCTAGTAGGTTCGAACCACCAAGCTTTTAGTTAGCAGCTGAATGCCTTAACCACTATGCCACCAGAGATCCTTTCCAGTAGGAGAGAGATCACTCAAGGCACGCACTTCACGAGTAGTGCTTCAACACCGTCAGTTCATGCATAAAGCACGGCACACTGCCATTCCCATTGTACAGGTGGATAAATTGAGGTGCAAAGCGATTAACTGGCCTACCCAAGGAGAAGCTGAAAGTGTGTCTCAGGTCTCTTGCCTCGTGTCCCTGGATTTCTTTCTTTAGACATCACTGTTCCTACGGTATAAACACAAGTAATGGGGGTTTACTCTTATGCCTTCTCTCTCTCCTCTCTCTCTCTCTCTCTCTGTTTTCTCCTCTGTTGTCCTCTCAGCTCTCTGTTCCAGCTCTCTAAGGATCATCCCTTCTACTGCTCCCATGCCCTTGGTCCCTGTATCCCTGCTTCTCTCCCTGCCCATGCCCTGTTCTCTCTCTGCTTCTAGCAGCAAGCCCTCAGGGTAACCACCACCCTTTCCACAGCGTGTAGTTATCGGGGTCTTTAATGGCTGTTCTCTCATTTGATTCTCATGCCAAGTTCCCATGATGGTTGCAAGGGTATCACTGCCCCATTTGACAGATGGAAACAATGATACCAGGGAGGACACATGCCCTGGCCTGGGCCACAGTGCTCGTGTGATAGAGCAACTCAAGCTTTCCTAGCCCTCAGGCCTCCATTCTCCTGCACCAGCTCCCACGCACCCAGGATGTGTCTGTGAGAGAAGTGTTAGAAAGCTCCTCTGGCAGTTTCCTTGGGGTAATAGAATGGATGGAGCTGTGGGGATGGGAGGCCCCGATTTGAATGCTGGCCACACCGCTCACGCATGGCCTGTGCAGTCACAGATACGCTGCTTACTGCTGCCAAGGGCACTTCCTCCTCTGCAGTGCAGGCGTGTGGCACCCACGTGAGCGTTAGGTGAGAGCACATGTAGGAGCACCATGATCGCACCCAACACACAGTGGACACAGATGTTAATCCCCGCCACACACTGTGTTCTACCACAGGCATTCCCATTTCTTTCAAAGCAGAGACTTGGGCCTTTTGCTAATACTTTGCTATCGCAGAGGCTCCGCCCAACACTTCCCCGCATCACCCTCCAGGCGGCCTCCCCAGCAATGCTGCTGCTGGTCTGGGTCCACTTAGGATAATGAAAGCTGCTGTTTCCTGAGGATTTACCACGTGCCAGGCATGGTTCTTGAAGCTTTATACCCGTTCTCTCTAGTGTTCCTAAGATGATTATTACTCCCTTCACAGATGAGAACACAAGGGTAAAAGAAGCACCTCATTTTCCCAAGCACCAGCCACACACCTGAGCTGAGCTGGTGTGTCTGACTCAAGGCCACACTCTCTCTACCATACCCACAGCCTCCCCATTCTCACAACTTTCTCCCTCCTTCCGTAGGGCTACAAACTGCAGATCATCGAGGTGCCTGTACTTTCCGATAACTCGGTTCCTATCAGCGTGTTGGGTGAAGACTATTACAGGTGACACTGATCTAGAAGGCCTTTGGGAACAATGGACGTACCCCATGCTGGGTGATAGGTGCCAGCTCTCTTAGAGAGCAGCCACTCCCATCAGTAATGCCTCACCCCAGCAAGCTAGAAACGTACGTTTGGGGCGCCTCACAGCCTGGTGCGTCGTTCCGTGGGCGAGGAAGCAAGTTGGAAGCTCATTTGCATTTTGGCCCATCTTCCTGCTTGCCCAGTCTTGGAAGCATTTGCAAATGTCCGGATGGCCCTGGGAGAATGCCCCTGCTGGCTCTGTGGCATCCCTGTGCTAGGACACTGCTGCCTTCGGCAGACCCCAGGGTCAAGGTGAAACCCCACAAGGCAGGGACAGTGTCCTGGGGCCGAGACTTGCCGTCTTAGTGCTCGGGGCAGGGAAGGCTTCCCTGGCCAGTGCCAGGGCCTGAGATTAGATGAGCATGGGATGGGTGCTCACCTGATGTCAGGAGAGGACAATGCTGCCCTGGCTTTTGAGTCCCATCTTTCCTGTGTCCTCCCCCAGGAAACTCCTGTGCTATTACAGCAAGAGCCACCCAGCCGAGACTGTGAGGTGCTACGAGCTGCTGGCCCTCCATCTGTCCGTCATTCCCACAGACGTGGTGGTGCAGCAGGCCGGGGAGCTGGCCCGGCGTCTGTGGGAGTCCTCCCGCATCCCTCTACTCTAGGCTGGGGCCGACTGGCCCACAAGCTCTCCTGTGCCTTCAGTCCTCCAGGCTCACCCGGGTGCTCAGACGTTCTCCGTGGCAACCACCTCCTGCGGTCAGCCTGGGGCAGCCATCCTAGGGTGGCACAGAGTCCCCAGGACAGCCCCAGTGTCTCCTTAGGAAACTGCCTAGACCACCCTCCCTGGGAGGTAACCAGCAGGCCCCCAGATCCTTCCTTGTAAAGGGGGAGGGAAGCCAGGGAGTGCCTTATGTCTCCTTAGAACAATGCCCCAAGGTTAGAGCTGACACAGAGCCACCTCTGTTCAACCCCGGGAGACCCAGAGGATGTCCCCAGTGCCTGAGGGGTCTGAAGCCACCCTCCTTTCTGCCATTCTCAGTGGCGAAAGAGCTCCCTCAGGAAGTTGTTTCCCTCCTGGACAAAGGGTGCTTCATTGGCTAGGCTGGTATTCCCACTCTGCTACTTCCGGTCTGTGGCTCTGGGCAAGTTCCTTAGACTCCAGGCCTGTCTCCTCACAGTGAAAGTGGTAACACCTGCCCCACAGATGAGCTGTGAGGCTTACCAGGCACATGGTAGGTGCTCAATAAATGGTGGTTATTACTGGTATCAAGCCCAAACCCACTTGTACTTCTGAACTGCTTTGTTAGCGCTGACATGCCCTTGCTAAGTCCTGGTTCCTTCTCATCAGACCTGGTCCTGGTGTTTTGCCCCAGGGCTGCAGTTTTGGATGCCCTGGTCCCTGAGTCTGATATACTTGGTCTGCTGGCAGGCCCAGGGTTTGGTATTTGTAAAGCTTCCCATGTGATTCTAACGTGCCCTGGATTGAGAGCCACTCCCCAGCGGCACAGCACCTCCTTACTTACCAGTAGTCCCTACCCCCAGAAAGGGCACAAGGACCAGAGTCCATGGGAAAAAGCACACTGGGGCGGGCGTTTGCTGGAGGGATCCATCCCCCTCAGGCCCAGAGGCTGCTGCTGAGATGAAGAGAAGTGACCTGGATAAGCAGGCATCCACCACACCAAAGGCCCGGATGCATTTGTGATGCCGGTTGTGTCCCGGTGACCATTTGTTCTCTTTAAGGAAACAGCCTTGAGGGAAAACCGAGCTGCTGATGGAGCTAGAACCACACCCTGGGCTAATGCCCTCGGTAGGTAGCAGTGAGGAACACCACTGGATCTGTCCTCCTCAATATTGTGGTTTTATGCATGGGGATTAAAACGGAAACCATGGTAAACACAGAAGAGCACAAAGAACAATCAATCAGCTATTAATCTTTAAACCTCAAAAACAACCCCTGGATTCTTCTTTAAAACAAACAACAATTTAGTGCTCTTTTAAGAGTGATCTGTATGGGATCAAATTGGCAACAGCAACTCGAAAGGTTCGATAGGAACCTTCGGGGACAGTGAGCTGATGTTAATGAGGGAGGAACATTTTGGAAAAGGAGGGTGAGAGCGTGTGTACATGAATGTAATCAGTGTCATTGACGTGTCTATCTAGACATTGAATTGATGTTTTGCTGAGGATATTTTCAGCAACAAAAACATTTTTAAATTAAAAGAATTATATTTGAAAATAAACAGAGAAAAAGCAAGAGGAAAAAGATCTTTAAACTCACCAAATGGGTTTTGGGTACCCCCTTTTGTTGCCTAATATTTTGCCTTAATTTTTAACAGTAGCATCATGTGACCCAATTCATTGAATCAGTGCACCTAATTTTCTTAACACTTCAGTATTGTAGGTAACACTGGGCTGAACATCTGAATCGGGTTTTACCAGGCAGGTTCGCTCCCAATGTAAACCCGCTGGGAGGTGTCTGAGTTAGGAGAAGGCCCTTTGACAGCCCGCATCCCAACACCAGCTTCCCCACATTCCTTTCCCAGTTGGAGGCTTGAGCCTGCAGCACTGGCAGGTGACAGTGCCCGACACACACCCTCAACTCCTGGGGTGCGTTTTCCCTACAACAAGGGGAATGGTCTAACAAATGGGCAGAGAACAAACGGGCTCCTAATTCAAGACAGGCCCAAAAATTTGCACTTTAGCTGAAGACATTTACAGATGTGATCTTTAATCCTTAAAGATTCTTGGAAAATGGGAAAGGTGCCAAGAGAGGAGAGACATGTGCAGGCCTTCCAAAGAAGAAGGTGGACCTCAAGAACTGCCTACTAATGAGCCTTCTCTCAGGCTCCTGCCAGATTCCTTGGCAGTCCAGTCTAAGTGGGAGTGTGGGAGCTTAGGAAACTGGAGGCTGGCTACAGGCGACAGATGTGGCCCTCTCATAGTGATGCTGAGGCCCTGGCCACAGGGATACTAAGTGGTTGCCCTGGAGATGTTCGCCCAGTGGGCTCCCTGTACCTCTGGTGGGCGTATGCAGTTCACACCCTTCCAAGTGGAGGACTGGGGGCTGCAGCAGAGTCTGCCAGGAATCTATATTAGAATTCTCCCAACCCAGCCCCTGTGTTACCACAAAGCTTGGGGTTACTCAGCAAGACTCTGTATACAGCCAAGTAATAACAGAAGCTGAGTTGAGGTAGGCAAAAGGCACTTTTATTCCTTTGGCCAAAAGAAAGTAACAGCGGGGCTAATTGCCTTCCAAGACTGGTCAGGCATGGGGTTGAGGGAAGCTGTTTTTATAGGGTTTACAAACAGGCAATCATACAATGATGTCATCACATTTTTAAACATGCTACGCAAGTGCAGTTAGGACTGATGACATCAAACATACGTAAATGTTCAGAAAATGGTAGCTGTACTCCACCCAGAGGCCATGAAATTAATATGCCTGAGGCTCCTAATGAGCTAATGTTAACTCCAAGTCACACAGACCAGCTTGAACTGGCAGTGGGACGGCTGTTATCAGGAGAAGTGGCTATTCGGACTCAGGGCCAGCCAGTGGGCCCACGATCAGGCCATATAAGGAAATGGAGCCGTTCAGCCACTGCCTCACCAGCACATCACAGGCATATGGTTCCTTTATGAGGGCAGACAGCACAGCAGGGAGAAGGTTTTTGACTCAAAACCTGTTCTGACGACACCACTTGCTCACTGCCTTCTCCGAACCTCAGCTTCCTTATCTGTACAATGGAGAGACTCTAACAGGAGCCCCTGGGTGATGTGCTTGGCTTCTAACTGAAAGGTTGGCCGATTGAATCCTCCCACAGGCACCTTGGAAGACATTTACTTGCAAAAATCAGCCATTGAAAACCCTGTGGATGTGGAGAGACTAGAACCCTCCTACACCACTGGTGGGACTATAAAATGGTGCAACCACTGTGGAAAATGGTATGGCACTTCCTTAAAAAGCTGGAAGTAGAAATACCACATGACCCAGCCATCTCACTGCTACGTATATATCCTGGAGAAATAAGAGCCATGACATGAACACATACATGCACACCCATGTTCATTGGAGCACTAGTCACAATAGCAAAAAAGATGGAAACAACCTAAGTGCCTATCATCAGAAGAATGCATCAACAAACCATGGTACATACACACAATGGACCATGCAGAATTACAGAACAATGGTGAATCTGTGAAACATCCCATAACATGGGTGAACTTAGAGGCCATTATGCTGAGTGAAATCAGTCAGTCACGAAAGGATAAACATTGCATGAGACCAGTATTGAAAAAAGTCAAAAGAGTTTCACACTCTTGGAAAAAAAAAAAAGAAATATTCTTTGATGGTTATCCAGGGTAAATGGAGAAGGTAGGGTAGACCACTGAGTAGAGGATAGTTACATTGACTTGGATGGAGGAAGTACACCCTATGGAGTGCAGTTCTGCTATGACACCGTAGGGTTGCCAGGAGTCAGAATGGGCTTGGGGACACCTGGTTTGGTTTGGTTTGCAATTAAACCAGAGGCTCCCCAAAACATGCCTGAAATATAGTGCCTGGCACAGGGCCGTCTGAATTACCAGTATGATAATCTTTCTCCAGAGTCCTGGAGGCTCTGACTTCTGCCCGGTTAATGGGCAACCTCCTCTGGGTGACTGCCGGGAGCACAGAGCAACCTCTGTTCCTTAGCTGTGGCCCAGAGCCAAGCGGCAGCTTGGCTGCAGTTCCTTCTCTCTTCCTGCTCCTCCCCTGGCCCAGGACAGCACAAAAAGCTGACTGCAAGCAAATTCCTTGTCTCTTATTGCTCAGCACAGGGCAGAAATGGCGGCTGGTGGTGGAGGTCTCTTCAGGGCCCTGCTTGCCTCTCCCCATCCTGCTTGGAGACAAGCTCACTCTGGAACCAGGGGACATCTGAAGCCTGAGTACGATGCAGTGGTGATAGGAGCAGGTAACATGGGGCTGGGCCACACAGCTAAGGGGTGAGGGGCAAGAGGTAGCCTTGCACAGAGGTCAGGAGGGGCCCCTTCCCTAAGCCCCACACACTCCCTTCACCTCTGGGCAAAACCTGGCCAGGAGTTTGGGTGACAGAGAGGAGTGATGGTGGAAGGCCCACCAGTGTGGGAGTCAGTTATCCAGGCTGCAACCCCAGCACTGCCATTGACTTGCTGTGTGAGCGTGGGTAAATCCTGTCCCTCTTTGGCCTTGGCTTGTCCCATCCAGGAAGACAAGTGAGAACTAGATGGCCTCAGAGGTTTCTATGTGTCTGCTGTGAAATTAGCTAGTTCCTGCCACATTTTTGTGTCCTAGGTGGTACAAAGGGTTAAGCATGTGACTACTAACTGAAAGGTTGGTTCGAACCCATGCAGAAGCACCTCCGAAAAAAGGCCTGGCAGTCTTCTTCCAAAAGGTCACAGCGACAGAAACCCTGTGAAACAGTTCTCCTGTGCACACATGGAGTTGTCATGAGTTGGAATCAATGGTACATAGGGTTGGAAAGAGAGCCCTAGGATCCTGCCACCCCTAAGCACCTGAGTTGTGGTTGCCACCACTTCACCACCAAGATGACTTATCCTCAGAGGAAGTGGGTCATCTTGTTCATACAGGGGCGTTAGGAGGAACCAGAACCGTGTGCCAGAGATCTGACTGCATGCCCACAGAGGGTGCCAGCCCCCATTTTCTGCCCATCTGGGGCACTCGGGGTCTGTGGCATTGATCCTGTCTCATTTGACTGGCCGTGGCCTGCAGAAGACCAAATTCTGAGTGACCGGATGAGGCCGTGGGGCCAGGGCCATCTGTTCACACTCACAAAGGACCTTAAGTTTAAAGATAAGCATTATTTCCAACGGAGTTTATACAAGGAGCTCCGGTGGCACAGTGGTAAGGCATTCAGCTGCTAACCAAAAGGTCGGCATTTCGAACCAGTAAGCCGCTCCACTGGAGAAAGATGGGGCCATCTGCTTCCATAAGGATTTAGAGCCTTAGAAACCCTATGGGGCAGTTCTACTCTGTCCCATGGGGTCTCTGTGAGTCAGAATCAACTTGATGACAGTGGGTTTGAGTTGGGTTTATACAGAAGGGTAATGACAGGACTGAAAGAAGGAATCACCATACAGCCTTCAATTGCATCCCTGATTTGGCAGCTCCATGTTGGTGGAATGCACTGAGGCAGGAGGGTGTTGAATACTTAACCTCGTCTCTACAGAATTGATGCCTGAATTATGGTGTTGGCAAAGAATATTAAATGTACCCTAGACTTTCAGAAGAACAAACAAATTTGTCTTGGAAGAAGTACAGCCAGAATGCTCCTTATAAGTAAGGATGGCAAGACTTAACCTCTCGTGCTTTGGACACAGTATCAGGAGGGACCAGTCCCTACAGAAGGCCATCATACTTGGAAAGGAGAGGGTCAGTGAAAGAGGGATAGATCCTCAACAGGGTGGGCTGACACGGTAGATGTAACAATGAGCTCGAAGGTAGCGGTGATCATGGGGATGGCACAGGACCCAGCGGTGTTGTGTTCTCTGTATATTCAATCACTATGAGTCAGAACCAACACAACGGCACCTAACAACACAACGGCAAATTAAAAGACAAATGGCTGCCATATATTGCAGGTCTGCTAAGGGTCAAGCGCTTTACATGTTACTGATGATCCTCCCTGCAACACTGTGAGGCTGCAGCATCCTCTCTGAGTTACATATGAAGCTCAAGGCTGTTAAAGTGACTCTCCGAGGGCCACATGCTGGTAAATCATAGAAGCCAAGTGTGAGCCCAGCACTGTCTGCCTTGAATGTGTTTTATGCATTTAAGAACAGTGTTTTTTAAACTACAGGTCGCAATCCATTCAACCAGAATTTTAAAAACACTCATAAAAATTTCCAGTGGTACCTAAAAATAGTATGTCAACATTTTTTTAATGAAATAGAAAATATCAGTGTGTTTCTCACATCATTTGTTGATTTTCAACTTGTAATGACCTCAGTGATAGAGTAGAACTGCTTCCACAGGGCTTTCTAATCTTTATGGCAGGTTGCTAGGTATTTCTTCCACGGGGCACCTGAATGGGTTCGAACAGCCAACCTTTTGATTAGCAGCCAAGTGCTTAACTGTTGGCCACTGGGGCATCTTATCACATGGTAAGAGTCAGTATTAGTTAATGAAACTTTTGTTTCTGTGAAACCCATTGATCTCTCGGGGGTGTGCCAGGTCATGATGTAAAATGCGTTTTCTTCCTTGGATCATTGCCCAAGAGGTTTGGAAAACTCCATTTTAGAGATTCTTTTTAATGAGAAGCTGGCTCAAAGACTTCTAAAATTCTGGGAGTCTCTAGGAGGACAAGTTAAACTCAATCTGCTCAGTTATGAAGAAGTCTATCATGTGAGTCATTGCTGCTCTCCTGTTTTTGAAAGTCTGCCCAATTAACAGTCCAGCATTTTTTTTTCCAAGTCAACACAGGGTTCAGGTTAGTGCCCAGAGAACACGGTCATCTGCTGACATCTTAAAGACTCAGAGTGACTTTCTCTCACAAGGACAAAAGTGTGCTAAGGGTTAGACAAGGCCCAGCTCCACCTCCCTGCACACCAGGACTTTGAACCATTTCGTTCTGGTTCAACCCCTGCTGAGAATTTGCATTTCCACCTGAGATATACTGAATCCGTATCTTCATTTTAACAAGATCCCCGGGCAGGGCTCTGAGAGAATTACCTGGGGAATCTTGCTAAAATGTAGATTCGGATTCAGTATATCTCAGGTGGAAATGCAAATTCTCGCAGGTCGTCAAACTGGAATGAACCAGATCAAAGCCCTGCTGCAAACTTGTTCTCAGTCCACCTGAAAGAAAGGAGGAGGTGGGCTCACCCCAAGAACCTGTTTTCTCCACTTGTGGGTCTGAGACCACCTGCGTCACAGTCTACCTTGTGAGAAATCAGATGCCAGGTCCCCACCTCCAACCTGCTGAACCAGACTCTCTGGGAAAGGGGCCTGGGAATCAGCATTTATACTGATTACTCAGGTGATTCTGAAGTTTGCCAAAGCTGAAGAAGCAGTCCCTCCCAACGAGCTCAACATGGGTCCTCAAGCCACATCCAGGACCCATAGCGCGGGAGCAGCCCTCCTAAAAGGTTAAGGAAAAAACTTTACATATAAGATAGACAAATTTGCCCGGTCAGCTTGTACCCCCAGTTAGGCTAGCACACAGTGAAGCTGTTTAATGACTTTTGAACTGTCCATCTTTTTATTTTTATAAACTGGGGGTTGTCAAGACAAACCCAAGTGAGCAAAGACTTACACACTCTTGTGTCCTGTGAACCACACTTGGGCAAAACAAACCATACCTGACAACAAATATCCCCACAACCTGCGCTCATCTGCATGGCTGATTATTGAATGCATTGGGTGACCTCCATGCTGGGCTAGGGACCACCCTCCTGTCACCTCTTCCCTGCTAAGCAGGTGTGATGCTCCCCCAGACACAGTCACCTGCATACTCCTGAGTGATGGGAGCCCCATTAGTGTGAGGCATTGTGGGAGCCCTGGCAGTGCAAGGCATTGTGGGATAGCTCTGTCTCAGGACCATGTATTTCTTCAGCATGGAGTCTCTGGCCATACCAGAGTGATGGAACTTTTTTCAAGCCAGGGCAAGACCCAGAGTTCTCTGATTCCTCACAAACCAGGTATACCATGGCATCGAGCTGCAGCCTGATCCAACATCTGAGTGTACGTAGAGTGTGGGAGTGTAGGGGAGTCCCCAAGTTTCTGCTGCCTTGTTAAGATCTTCACGGTGTGGGACTGGGAGTGGGTGACATGCTCCTCAAGGAATGTGTCTGTCTGCGCACTGATGGGTGTTGCTTCTCTCTCCTCTCTCCTGTCTCACTACAGGACACAACGGGCTGGTGGCCGTGAGTACCACCTCCTCCCTTGGCCCTGCATCACTGCCCCTGGGCATGCAGCCCTCAGCGCTTGGGGAGGGGTGTGAGGAAGGGCAGGGTGACCACTACAGGGGAGGACAAAGTCAGGAGAGTCTACTCTCTCTGGTGCTGACTGGTGGCTGATCAAGTGTACATGCACAGGCAGTTCGGGAGGATTTGGGGGCTCCCTTTCCTCTCCTTTCCCTAATGCACACAGATTATCCCACATGGCCTCTGAGAGAGTCGGGAGCTTTCCAAAACAAGATTACGAGAAGGTGGTAAATTGTATAACTGGTATAGTCCCAGAGACATGCTGGAGGCTGGCATCAGGGAATGAGCTTGGGGGGCCTCTGACTTTACATTGTGGACAGTTCTTGTATGGGGCTCACTGTTCCCCAGCGGGGTCCAGGCCATGTACCAGCCTGGAGCATTCAGCAGCTATGAAGTCCAAGGTGTACCCTAGAGACAGAGAGGAATCCCAGTGTAGCAGAGGAGGCAGGGACCCTGCCCCGAACACAGACGGTCTGAAGCTTAGCTGGGCGAGAGTTACCTTAAGTGTGTGCTTCTCAAACCTGACTCCGTGTACCCCTGGGAGGCCAGAGCATGTGCTAGAGGGTGTTCAAGACTACAGAACAAATACGGGTCATCTTCCTGAAGCAGTGGCTGCTCTTGAATACCATTATAGGGGACTCCACGAAGCATTGTAGGGTTGCTGCGGGACTTATGTTAAATCTTAAGACTTTACCTGAGTATCAATTTTACTTGAAGATGTAGCAAGGAAAATTTTGTAACTCAACCGACCAGTAATTTAAAACATTGATTTTATATTAATGTAAGGCATGGGTTCATCACTCAGCTCTGCCACTTTCTATCTGTAAAAGGTTAAGACAAATCAGTAGCCTCTCTGAACCGCAGCAAAATGAGAGTAACACCACCCACCCTTGCAGAGTGAGTGTGAAGGTTACAGGTAATTTGATTCAAGGACCAGGCACATAAAGCTTTCCACAAAGGGTGGCTTTTATCATTATTGGAAGTTTCTAGGCTGGGGAAGGCTAGTGTCAATGCCCTTCAGCCAAAGACCACCAGGAACACACTTGTAGTTAAACACGTTGGGTTTTTTACTCATTGCAGTGAGAGAGAACACACACCATGGGGAGCCGTGAGTCAGAAGGTGCTAGAAAGAACCGATTATAGGGTTTGGGCTTTGGTTGAGTGTTTTGAGGAGGATCTAAGGAAGCAGGGGTTCATTCTAGATTGGATGCTGCCAGAAACCAAGGGCAACCCTGGAATTGTGTACCTCAATAAATCTTATTTATAGAGTGGGCGACTAGTATGAGGATAGTTGTACTTAGTAATGAAGTAGCAGTTAGTCATTTTGGCCAAGGGGAGGGTGTTTGGTATTTTGTGACTGGCACAGGGACCTTGGTGCTGTTTGTACTTAGACAACATTGCAGTGAGGCCTTGCTCTGTCTCATTTGATCATGGTCAGGGTAACCTTGTCTGAGACTGGTGTTCTGTGAGATTGTTGGTGTCTGGAGAGAATAACATGGCTGAGCTCTGAGGGCCAGGTCACCTTCATTTAGAACGTTCAGGGCTGTTCTGTTTCCTTTCTCATTAGGATACCTTAGGAGTGTAGACCTTGAGTTCAGACTGTCTGGGTTCAGTTCCCAGCACTTCTCATCAGCTTCATAAACCTGAGGTGAGCTATTAACCTCTGGTTAATACTGAGCCTTGGTTTCATTACCTGTAAAATGGGGAGAATCGTGGCTACCTTTGGGATGGTTGGGTACGTTAACTGAGATGATATTCACAGTGTTTGGCACTTAGTATCTGCCAAGTGAACTATTAAAAAATCTGAACTACACCGTCCTTGTTGTCACGTTGCTGTTGGTGGTAGTGGAGGGATGGGCATTCTAGGTCTATAGATTGATGAGTTGTTTAGTTCAACAAATACTTATTGATTTCCCATTAAACACTAGTGAAAATTTAATAAAAACTCCTCCATCATTTGTACCCTAAAATTAAGTTATGTTACCACCATAGCTTCATTTATTGAACTGGCTTGATGGCAACTCTCTATCCATTCATTCATTCATCCATCCATCCATCCATACCTCCCTCCCTCTATCTAGGTGCCTGCTAGGTTCAGCCTCACAGCAGTCCTGTGAAGTAGGTAGAGTAGGTATTATATCATCAGCCCCATTTATGCACATGAAGAAACTGAGGCCAGGGGAATTTGATACAGAGACCACACCAGCAGAAGGAGGTGTGAGAAACTGAGGCTGGATGATCCGGTGGGGCACTCAAAAGCTTAGCCTCACTGGGCTGCCTTTTGCTGGGGAGATGATGCTGCAGTCAGGGTTGATAGGATGGGATGCAGTAGGAGTTCATAGATGCACTAGGAGCTGCTTAAGGGGGAAAGTCACCTTTAGCTGTGGAGTGGAGAGGCAGGACCAGTCAGCGTTTGAGACAAACGTTAGAAGATGCCTGGAAAAGGGGGGAATTTAGGGCAAAGCAGAAGGAATAGCATTCCCAGAGTGTAAACAGCATGAGCCAAGGAGCAGCATGAAGGCCCTGTGGTGAGACCCCTGAGACTTGGGTCAGCCCCAAGGGATCTCAACCTTCCAGAGGGGTGAAGGGAGGGCCCTGTGTGCCCCTCCTCCAGGCAGCCTACCTACAGAGACTGGGAGTGAACACGGTGGTCTTTGAGAGGCGCCACGTGATTGGCGGTGCAGCTGTCACTGAGGAGATCATTCCAGGTGAGCCCCGAGGGGTGGTGAGGGTGGTGACCACTAGCTGACCACTGACGACCATCTTCATCTGATTTGGTTTCAGGGTTTAAGTTCTCCCGAGCGTCCTACCTCCTCAGCCTGCTGAGGCCGCAGATTTACACAGACCTGGAGCTGAAGGTAGATCCCTCCTCAGCCCAAACGTAGGGGAGGAGTTCCATCTTCTCCAGCTGGGGTGAATCCCTACGCCTGAGGTCTTTCTTCTATCCTGAGGGTCTGTCTGTTCCACGTGATCTCCTTGGTGCATTCTTACAGAGGGACTTTTGTCAACCCACCCAGTATCTTTATTATTATTATTATTTTTATTGTGCTTTGGGTGAAAGTTTACAGAGCAAATTCACTATCCATACAGCAGCTTACATACACTTTGTCTCATGACAGTACTGCAATTTCCCACAATGCAACAGCTCTCTTCCCACTTCCTCCCCATAGTTACCTCTTCCCTGTGTCCTTCCCTCCCAGGCATTCCTGCCTCCCAAGCAGTCTCCCTGTGCACACACAGCCGTTCTATTCTCTCATGACTGATCTCTCCAATGAGTGTATGTACCTAATGTAAATGTTTAACTCATATTCCTGTCTTTTGTTTGACTGAAAGAAACAGGAAAACCCACCCAGTATCTTAAAAATTGAGAAATTTCATATAAAACTCAGACCCTCTTTTGAACAATGAGATTTGTCAACACCAGACCCACCTTCCTGTAGGGCAGCGCTTGGCCAGGCCTGAGTGGCCTCTCCCCTCAGATGGTACAAGGACTCCTAGCTCTGCCCTGTCTCAATTTGCCCTGGAGTCTTACCTGGCCCTCATAGGTATCTACCTGGACCCTTGGGCATTTGAGTTTGCAAAGCTGCCTTAGGATGCGAGCCTCGTTTCTGCCCTCTTGACTCTTCAGATCTTGTTACTTCAGATGCCTGCTCTGGGGCAGCTTGAGCAGGAAGTCAGACCCCAGGGACTCTTCACTCTTCTGGCTCCTGGGCTTTTTTGAGGGAATGCTGAGAACTCTCTGCCTCCAATTTGTTTACTTAAATCAGCTTAACCTTTGTCGGTAGCTTTGCCTCACTCTGCCCCGAGCCCTCTCAGATTCCTTCTGCCTCTCACAGCCTCTTCTATCACATCCTGAGCCATCTTAGCTTCTACCTGCTTCTGCCTCACCCAACTTAGAGAAAAAGGCCCTCAGTGCCATCTGTACAGGCAGTTCCATGTGCTTTGCTGAAATTCTAGGTGTAAACCTGATAAGGCGTCCAGCCACTGTTCACAGCTCTTTGGCTGCTCTACTTGGTAACCCCATCTAAAGAAGGGGCACCTTATTTTAACATGACGTTGACAACCTGGAGGGCATCCGCAGGAGGGCAGTTAAGCTCTTTCCATTAAGATCCTGTTTCCAAAGCAGTAATAAAGAGCATCTATCTTACAGCGTCACACCTTGGGCTAGGAGCTTAAATGCTCTGTTGTGCTTGATCCTCATCCCAACCCTATGAGACAAAAACCAAAACCAAACCAAATGCACTGCCTGCATCGAGTCAGATCCAACTCATAGCAACTCCTCCTTGGGTTTCCGAAGAGGTATCACTATGAAAGTAGATTGCCCAACCTTCCTTCCAAGGAGTGGCTGGTGGGTTTGAACTTCCAGCCTTCTGGTTAGCAGTCAAATGCTTTAGGCACTATGCCACCAGAGGTCCTAACGGTTAATTTCTCCATTTCATGAGGGGGGAACTTGTGAGGTCAGAGTTCACACAGGTAGAAAACGACAGAGAATTTCAACCAAGTCTAACTGATTCCTATTCTTTACTCTTGAGCACCATGGTGGGCTGCGTCAGGCACCTTAAGAGCATCCCACTCAGCCTCAGATTCCAGCACTTTGCAGTTTGCAATGGACCCAGTCATCAGTCATGAGCTCTCACCACAGCTCCCGCCTGGGAGAACCCATTGGTTGAGACCACAGACTCGGGAACCTGATAGATTTGGGATTCCTACTTTACTGTTGGAGCTCTGGTGGAGTAGTGCCTAAGACATTTGACTGCTAACCAGAAGGCTGGCAGTTCAAACCCACCAGCCACTCCTCGGAAGGAAGGTTGGACGATCTACTTCCGTAGTGATACCACCTCAGAAACCCAAGGTGGGGTCACTATGAGTGGGGTCCGACTGGATGGCACATAACAACAACAACAACATGGAGCTGTTGTGATGGTTAATGAGACTGTGTTTGATAACCACGGTGCCTGGCACAAGTGCTGAGCAATTGTCAGCCATGATTGCTACTCCATTTTGCAGCTGAGAGAACTGAGGCTCCAGAAAGACAAGGCAGCCTACTCAGAGGCTCGTGGCTAGCTCCTGCTCGCCAGTCCCTGCCACTCATGGGAGGTACCCAATTAGACTAAGCCCTGACTAAAGGCTGAGGCTTGACTTTGCTGCCACTTTCCCTCCTCCTGTCCTTGAGGCAGAAGTCGTCTCCCCAACCCATGACGCTTCAGTGAGACCTCCTTCCCCAGGTGGTTCTTGGTGTACACAGCTTTCAATGCGAGCACTGAGTTAAATTACCTCTCAGTTCCATCCATCTAGATACTAAGTTTGCTTTTACTGACTCCACATTAAGTAGTGGAATCCAAGCTGGGAGGCAGGAACTTTTGCACTTGCAGGGACTTTGGTTCCACACCAATCAGCACCCAGTATCCCTCACCTCCCAGGAGCCAGCCCTGTCCTCACTCTGGGTGGCAGCCCCTTGTCCTCCTTTCCCTCCCTCACCAACGTTCTGGATCTCAATTACGTGTCAGCGTGGGCTGAGGTGCAGTGGAGGTTACAAGAAGCGCACAGCTTCTGCAGACAGGGCTGACGACTGCTGGCACTGGATAGGATGCAAGACTCAGGGAAAGGGGGCAGAGGGCGCCTCCTGGGTGGTAGAGAGCTCACTATTTCAGTTGGAGGAACCAAGCTGGAAGCTCCTGCCACTTAGATAACTCCCCCATCTTAGCAACAGAAGGGGCCCTGGAGGTCTCCCAGCCCACGCTCCCACCAAAGTTTGCAATCGCCTCCACAGAGTGCCAGCACCCGCTGAACCTGCCATCTGGCATGGCCTCGGTTGCAGGAAACTCCAGATATAATTATTGAAAAGGTTTTTTTTTTTTTTTTTGGTTTCTCTATGCTATCCTAAAACTTCTACTCACAGACCTTGTTTCTGTCCTTGTCTGCGACAGAAACCAAACCAAAGCCATTGCCGTCAGTTCCGACCCCTGGTGACCCTCTGTGTCAGCGTAGAACTGCTCCATATGGTTTTCTTGGCTGTAATCCTTACACAAGCAGATCGCCAGCTTTTCTGTTGTGGCGCCACTGGTGGGTTTGAGCCACTAACCTTAGGTTAGTAGTTGAGCGTGAGCCGTTCATGCCACCTGGGGGCCTGTCTGCAGCAGTTGTTGTTGTTAGGTGCTGTTGAGTCAGTTCTGACCTACAGTGACCCTACGTGCAACAGAATGAGATGCTGCCTGGTCCGCTGCCATCCTCACAATCATTGCTTTGAGCCCATTGTTGCAGCCAGTGGATCAGTTCATCTTGTCAAGGGTTTTCCTCTTTCACTGACCCTGTACTTTACCAAGCATGGTGTCCTACTCCAGGGACTGGTGGCTCCTGATAATATGTCCAAAGGATGTGAGATAAAGCCTTGCCATCCATGCTTCTAAAGAGCAATCTGGCTGTACTTCTTCCAAGACAGATTTGTTCATTCTTCTAGTGGTCCATGGTATATTTAGTATTCTTCAATAACACCTAATTCAAAGGCATTGGTTCTTCAGTTCTCCTTATTCATTGTCCAGCTTTTGCATGCATATGAGGCGATTGAAATTAACATGGCTTGAGTCAGGCACACCTTGGTCCTCAAGTGACATCTTTGTTTTTTTAACACTTTAAAGAGGTCTTTTGCAGCAGATTTGCCCAGTGCAATATGTTGCTTGCTTTTTTTTTTTTCCTTTTTAATTTTTATTGTGATTTGGGTAAAAGTTTACAGAGCAAATTCACTTCCCATACAGCAGCTTACATACACTTTGTCTCATGATATTGACTGCAATTTCCCACAATGCAACAGCTCTCTTCCTATTTCCTGCCCATAGTTACCTCTTCCCTGTGTCCTTCCCTCCCATGCAGTCATGCCCCCTGAGCTGTCTCCCTGTGCATACACAGCCCTTCTATTCTCTCATGATTAATCTCACCAAGGAGTGAATCTACCTAATGTAAATGTTCAGCTCATATGCTTGTCTTCTGTTTGGCTGGAAGCCATAGGAGTGAGTTCAATTCCAGACTCCATCAGACCAGCAAACTTGGTCCTTTTTTTTTTTTAATGATTTTGAGTTTTGTTCCACGTTGTTCTCCCACTCTATCCAGGATCTCCTACAGAGATACCCCTTCAAGTAGTTGACAGTGGTGGTAGCTGGGCACCGTCTAGTCCTGTGGTCTTATAGTCCTATAGGCTGAGTATCACATGGTGTACCAGTCGCTTAGGCTAATTGTTTCCATAAGTCTTTGGTTTTCTTCATTCTTCTTTGCTCTGGATGAGGAGAGATCCATCGTTTCATCTAGATGCCCATTTGCAAGCTTTTAAGATCCCAGTTACTACTCGCCAAAGTAGAATGTGGAACAATGCTTTTGTATAGTATGTTATGCCAATTGAGCTTGATGTCCCCTGTGACTATGGTCCCGAGCCCACAGGTCCAACTACTCACTCCCTCTGGGTAGCTGGCTGTGGCCAAGAAGTGACTACAAACTTGACCCTTGTCAGATCTACTATGCACCTGGGAATTCTTACAGAATATACAAATATACTTGTAGAAACATTGCCAACCCTATACATGGTCTTGGGGATACTATCCCCTGCATAGACATACCTACTAGTTCAGCCTGTCTACCCACTTATCCACCCATATATCCATGTTTTCCTTCACTGACATTGCAGTGCTGTATGTGCAAAAGGTTCAGACAGCAAAAGGTTTGCTGTCTGTATTTCCCATACCTCTCTATGTCTTCATCTTCCTCAATGCCATTGTGTTGAATACTCACATTTGGTATAGTGCCCTTCTCTTCACCCAAACCAATACTTGTCTCTACCTATCTAAGTGTTCCCTCCCCTCCCCTCCCAGCCCTGGTAACCAACAAAGAAAATTTCCTTCCATATATAAACCTTTCCTTGACTTTTTACAATAACAGACTAATACAATATTTGTCCTTCTGTGATTGACTTATTTCATTCAGCATAATGTCCTCCAAGTTCATCCACATTATGTGGTGTTTTGCAGATTCTACATTATTCTTTAGGGTTGCATAGTATTCCATTGTGTGTATGTACCATAGTTTGGTTATCCATTCTTCTGTTGATGGGCACCTAGGTTGATTCCATCTTTTGGCTGTTGTACATAGTGCTGCGATGAACATGGGTGTGCATATATCTGTTCTTGTCCTTGCTCTCACTTTTTTAGGATGTATACCTAGTAATGGAATTGCTGGGTCAAATGGTATTTCTAATTCCAACTTTTTATGGAATCACTATACTGCTTTCCACAGTGGTTGTGTCATTTTATAGTCCCACCAGCAGTGTATGAGAGTCCCAATCTCCCCACATCCTCTCCAGCATTTGTTATTTTCTGCCTTGTTGAACTTTGCTACTAGTGCTAGGGCAAGATGGTATCTCATTGTTGTTTTGATCTGCATCTCTCTAATGGCTAATGAGGAGCTCTGGTAGCATAGTGCCTAAGGCACTTGACTGCTAACCAGAAGGCTGGGGGTTCAAACCCACCAGCCACTCTTCGGAAGGAAGATGGGGCAATCTACTTCCGTAGTAATGCTGCCTCAGAAACCCAAGGAGGGTCGCTATGAGTCAGGTCTGACTCGATGGCACATAACAACAACAACAACAATGGCTAATGATCATGAGCATTTCTTCATATGTTTATTGGCCACCTGAATATCCTCTTTGGTGAAGTGTCTATTTATGTATTCTGCACATTCTTTTTGTTGTTGAGGTGTTGGAGTTTTCTATAAATTATAGAGATAAATCCCTTGTCAGATACATCATTGCCAAATATTTTTTCCCAATCTGTAGGTTTTCTTTTGACTCTTTTGGAGAAGTCTTTGGAAGCACATAAAAATTTAGTTTTTAGAAGGTCCAATTCATCTAGTTTCTCTTCTGCTGTTTGTGCATTTTGGGTTATGCTTGATAGTCCATTTATGCCATATATTAGGGTCCCTAAATTTGCCCCTAGTTTTTCCTTGAGGAACTTTATAGTTTTAGGTTTCACATTTAAGGCTTTGATCCATCTGGAGTTAGTTTTTGTGTATGGTGTGAGGTACAGATCTTGTTTCATTTTTCTGCAAATGGATATCCAGTTTTGCCAGCACCATTTGTTAAACAGACAATCTCTTCCCCGTTTAATGGATTTTGGTCCTTTGTCAAAGATCAGCTGACCATAGGTCGATGGATCTATTTCTGGGTTCTCAATTCTATTCCATTGGTCTATGTGTCTGTTGTTGTACCCATGCCAGGCAGTTTTGGCTACTATGGTTGTATAGTAGGTTTTGAGGTCTGGCAGTGTGAGACCTCCTACTTTGTACTTCTTCAATAGTGCTTTGCTTATCCGAGGTTTCTTTCCTTTGCATATAAAGTTAGTGATTTGTTTTTCCATATCCTTAAAGAATGTTGATGGGATCTGGATTGGGATTGCATTGAATGTATAGATTGCTTTGGGTAGAATTGACATTTTCACAATGTTCAGTCTTCGTATCCACCAGCATGGTATGTTCTTCCATTTATGTAGATCTCTAATGGTTTCTTGAAGTAGTGTTTGATAGTTTTCTTTGTACAGGTCTTTTGTGTCCCTGGTAAGATTTATTCCCAAATACTTTATTTTTTTGGTACATTGCTTGATTTCTTGACTGCTACTTCCATGGGTGTTAACTGTAGATCCAAGTAAAATAAAATCCTTGACAATTTCAATATTTTCTCCATTTATCATGATGTTGCTTATTGGTCTAGTTGTGAGGACTTTCATTTTCTTTATGTTGAGGTATCCAGACTGAAGGTTGTAATCTTTGATTTTCATCAGTACTTCAAGTCCTCTTCACTTTCAGCAAACAAGGTTATGTCATCTGTATATCAAAGCTTGTTAATAAGTCTTCCTCCAATCCAGATACCACCTTCTTCTTCATACAGTCCCTATTCTTGACTTATTTGCTCAGCATACAGATTGAGTAAGTATGGTGAAAGGGTACAACCCTGACATACACATCCTGCAGCATAGCATTTATTTTTTCAGTCAACAGAATACTTATCGATTCCACTATATCTATGTGTTGGGGCTGCAGCAGTGACTAAAACAGGCAAAGCACCTGACCTTGCAGAGCTTTCATTATCCTTGGGAGAGACATAAAAATACTAAATATGTAATAATCCAGGTGGTGGTCGGTGCTTTGGAGAAAAATAAAGTAGGGTGGAGAGGCCAGGCAGTGCTGGGGAAGGTCTCACTGATAAGGTAACAGTTGAGCAGAGTTCCCAGGAAGTTAGGGGATGGGCCAATGGAAAGAACTCTCTAGACAGTGAGAACATTAAGTCTTATTTGTGGAGGTAGCAGACCCCTTTTGTTTCATTTATGCCTCCTTTGAAAAAGTAGATGTGCTCTTGGAAAACCCTGTGGGTTAGTGAAAATTTATAAATCAAATCATATTTTAAATGCATCATTAGAACTTCCATGTAGAGTGACCTTGAGGTAAATGTGTCTGCAAAGTAAATAATCTTTTTTTTTTTTTTTTTGCAATGTGAACTATTTAACTCCCTTGGAAGTATGGATTTTCACATAACTGTTGCTTTATTATGTCTTTCTAAGTCTTAATTATTTATTTCTGAATTGGGGCAATTATGGACTGGGGCTTAAGAGCCAGGGCTGTGGAGTCACAGAGATGTGGTTTGGAAACCCAGATTCCCTACCTAACATGACCTTGGAGGCTTAAACTCTTTGAGCCTCAAGCTTTTCATTTGTACAATGAAGATCATAATATTCATCTCCTAGAGCTGTATTAAAACCAGGTAAGAGTTGTAAACCTTTAGTACAGTACCTGGTATATGGTTAAGTATTATATTGTATTGCATTGCATAATCTACCATAGGAGGTCTGGACAAGAGGACTCTTTATAAACTTTTTTTTTTTTTAAGGAACCAGGACCACATATTCTGAGAACTTGCACACAGGTTCCTAAATAGTCACATACACACATGTACATGTGCACATGCATGCACACAGAGAAGTGTTGAGGGCAGAGATCACAGATCCCTTAAAATGTTGCCTGTGCTGTTTGTGTTCTGCAGAAACACGGGCTAAAGCTGCACCTTCGAAACCCCTACTCCTTCACCCCCATACTGGAAGAGGGCACAGGAGGAAAGGTGCCCAGGTCTCTTCTGCTGGGCACAGACATGGCAGAAAACCAGAAGCAGGTTGCCCAGTTCTCACAGAAGGATGCCCAGGTAAAGGAAGAGACCAGGAACTGATTCCCTCGCCACTCACAAGCCTGGAGGTGGTTGAATGAAAATGGGCCTGGTTTGAATTGTCCTTAAACACTCTGCCCAGAGGCCATAAGGGCCTGTACAGGCCACACCACCTTCCCTACAAGGGTCCGGCCTGTGCTAGCCTTTGATCTCAGGCACTACAAAGAAAAGGGGATGGAGGAGGGTGATTAGGACCAGTGACGCTGGAGGCCATCAAGTCTGTGTGTCTGGGGGGGGGGCGGTGTGTGCTCAGTTCGGTTGGTCTCTATATGCTGAATTTCAAAAGGGAGCTCACTGACCTACACGTGCACCGTGTGGTCTTTATAGCCATCCTGCTCTCAGAAAGAATTCCAAGTGGTTATCAATATTAAAATGAGCAAAAGCCAAAAAGAAAGAGCAAAGAGAGATCAGGCACAATTAAGGACAACTGAATGAACTGGATCAGAAGCATAGGACTGAGAATTGAGGTAAATTTCAGTCCACTTGGCATCAGTCTCCTGATAACCCAAGGCAAAAAAGGACCCTGCTGGTGTGCAGGTCTGCTCAGAGGAAGTCAACACATCTGATGGAGAATGCATTTGGAAGAATTTGTTCAGTAGCTTTGTTTAGATGAGTCACTGAATAATGTAATGGGCCTGGTGTGATCAGTTGTACAGATACAAAAAGATTCTAAAAATGGCCACTTCTTATAGCTTGAGTACTAGCTGAAGGTGTAGCATTAAGGTGTGGCTTAGTGGAGACAGTTTTGTAAGAACCTATGTTTATGTACCACCACCCATCTGTCAGCTTGCCATACTGTGGTGGCTTGCATGTTGTTGTGATGCTGGTAGCTATGCCACTGGTATTTCAGTTACCAGCAGGGTCACTCACAGTGGACAAGTTTCATCAGAACTTCTATACTAAGACTTCCTGCTGATCTGCTTTCAAAAATTAACCAATGGAAACCCTATGGATCACCAGAGAATACTGTCTGATATAGTGCTGGAAGATGAGTCCCCAAGGTTGGAAGGACTCAAGCATACCAACAATCATGAAGATGCTTGTGATATTGGAGCTGTGTGTCAACTTGGCTGGACCACAATTCTGTGTGGTTTAAGCAGTTGTGATGTGGTTATTCCCATGATGGGATCAGATGAATGTGTTTTGAGCAGCCAATCCGTTGAAAGGGAGTTTCCCTAGGGGTGTGGCCTGCTTCCAGTATATTTATGGGCATCCTGGAAAAAGAGACACTCTTCTGTGGATTGGGATTCTATTGTGCTGCCTACAACTGCCCATGAGCTAACAATCCACCGTTTGGCCTGGAGATCTTGGATTCGTCATTCGTTGGTGTCAACAGCAAGTATACCACCTGCCAACCTTGAGCTCCTCAGCGTCTGCAGCTGTGAGAGTCGGGAAGAGCTTCCAGCTTGATGTTTGATCCAAGAACTTGGGACTTGCCAGCTTCTATAAGTGTGTGAGCCATTTTCCTAAGATAAATTTCTCTTTCTCTCTCTCTATAAGCTTTACTGGTTTTGTTTCTCTAGAGAACTCAGTCTGACACAATGGTAAAGGACCAGTTAACGTTTGTTCTACTGTACGTGGGGTCACCATGAGTTGGAGCCAACTCAACAGCAACTAACAACAGAAGTTTATACAATCCACCTATGTTGCTTTTTGATGTTTTCACCTAATGTTGGGTACAACCTAGAGAACCACAGACACACATCTGTCTTTACCCAGCAGTTTCCAAACCTGACTGACGATCAGAGTTACCTGAGGAGTTTTGCGTTGTACAAGTGATTCCTCTGTGCAGCAGGCTAGGAATCAAGGCCTAAACCCTCTCCTCTAAATCCTGCCTGTCTCTGATGCACTAAGGGGATCCAGCACAAGGTTGGGTCCCCAGGCCTGCAGGACACTGGTTGCATCCCAAGGGCAACCACACGAGCAGGAGGCATACTGCCTTGGAAACCCAAGGAGAGGTCGCTGTGAGTCGGGTCCGACTCAACGGCACATAACAACAACATTGTGGAAAGATAGGAGTCTGATTCCTGGTTTCATCTTTACACAGTGCCATGTTAGAAGCTCTGAGAAGCTTTAGAGAAAGCTGTTTAACTTCATTTTGCCAAAACTTTGCAAATGTACTTCAACACCAAATTTTCTTCATGTAACACTTCCTAAAATGCCATGGGTATATAAAAGCAGATGAGCCGGAAGTTGAAAATGCTAGGCTGAGAATCAACGGAGGGACCTCCACTGGCACAGGCACCCGCACGTGCTCCAGTTGCCCATCAAGAGAAGGAGGTGGGGGTGGTCTGTAACCATGCTCGGGGGTGATGGGTCTTGACAATGGATTCTGTTGTGGGAGCCTGTGGAGTAAGGGGATGCAGGCTTCTGTTCCTATTCTGTTACTGCTTGTGACAAGGGGACATGAAGATGAGAGTCTAGGAATGGCAGTCAGCACCCTGGAGAAAGTGGAAAGAAACTTTGATTTTGCCAGTAATCTATGGAAAGGTAGAGGACACAGAGAAGAAACTTGTAAATAGTTTTATTATTTATCACAGGGATCACACCCTTGGATACGTGCCAGTTTCTGTGGCTGATGCCTTATTCCCATCCCTACCCCAGGTGGCTCTTCCATCACCCATGATCTCTCTGACCTCCCCAGACGCACACAGATGTAGGAGCAGGAGTGACAGCAGAGCCTAGCTAAGCTACAGCTGGGGGTGAGACATGAGGAACCCTCAAGGCCCAGCTGTTAGGGGTGGCAGGAGAGCAGAACGTGAGGAAATGTCTTATGGGGTTTGGGGCAGTGGGACTTTGACTCAGGGCTCTGTTGCAGGCCTTTCCCAGATACGAGGAGTTCATGAATCGCTTGGTGTCAGCCATTGACCCTCTGCTGGACGCAGCCCCAGTGGACATGATGGCCTTCCAGCGTGGCTCCCTGCTGCAAAGGCTCAAGTCACTGTCCACCCTCAAGCCCCTGCTGCAGGCAGGTGAGTCTGGAGTGCAAGCATCAGGTGTGGTGAGTGACGGCGTGGAGCAGGCTGAGCCCATTTTCTCCGTGACTGGACACAAGGCTGAATCTCCCAGGCAGCCAGCCAACTGTGTTCTGTTAGTCAAGGGCATTTAGAGCACTTGATGGAAAAGGTCTTGGCCTGGGAGCCCTAGAGTAAAGCCTGAGATAAAGGCTTACATATAGATAGATAGTTTATTTTGAGCGGTAACCCCAGGGCATAAAATGAGGGAAGGGAGGAGTGAACTGGAAGGAAGGGGCATCAATACCAGGGCGTGTTACTGTATGGGTTGCCGCTGTGGGTGATGGGGAGCTGGACCTTCCGAGAGGGCTTGTGAAAGGCATTTCTGGACAATTTCCAGGAGAAGAAAGGGGGAGCATTTATCCACCAGGTTTTGTCCCCCACTAGTCAAGGGTTGCCCCATGGGGCATTAATTCTCACACTTGTGAGTTACGAGTCAGTGACTGCCAAGTAGGGTCCTGGGGGTATCCCATCATGGTGCCAGAAGACCCCAGGACAACATGAGAAAGAGCATCTTACCGGTCTGAGGTGAGACGCTGTTGGGATTGTACCTGTGTGAAGCTGGTGAAAGCCTGCATGGAACTGGGCACTAGACCAAGAGATGGGGGCCTAGAGAATTGGAAGATATGTCCCATACAAAGACAATGCTAAATCTGGGCTCAGCAAGAAAGAGTTCTATGATCAGTTAGTAGATGTCTGCCATGGGTTTAGGAAGGGTATTTTCAGCAAACATGCTATTATTTCCCACCATTCATCTAGGGAACAGAGACCAGTTTCACATCTATATACTAGAAAAATATAGATTCAGTTACATGTGGTCACAAAATTGCTGCATAACAAACAAAAAGAAAATTCCAGTGGCTTGCAAAAATAAACATTTATTTCTCCTATGTCTGTGTGTTCAGCTGAAGCCAGCTGGACTACACTGATCTGGTCTGGTCTCAGGAGTAGGTTTGTGATAGCGCAGATTAGCTGGGGCAGCTCTGTTCCACGTGCCTGATGTCCTCGTTTTGAAAGCAGCAGGTTAGGCCAGGGTAGGCGTGGCCTTCTCACATGAACAGCAGAAGCACAGAGGGCAAGACCCATGTACAGGCCCATTTCAAGCTTCTGCCTGCATCACATCTACAAATACTCCATTGGCCAAGCCAGTCAAGACTTGTGCATGAGCCAGAGTTAAGGGGCAGAGCAGATAAACTCAACAATCAGAGCCCGCAAAATCTACCAGAAAGGGTAACAGAAGGCATTTCCTCTCAGGTTTGCAGGAAAAACTCCAAGGAGCTTCATGCAATAATCATGTATTGAGCAGCCACTATGTGCCAGCCACTAAGCTAGGCACTGGGATAACAATGGCTAGACATCATGGTCGTTACCTTCAAGGTCTTACTGCCCAGTGATGGTCTGAATCAGTATCAGAGGAATAAGCTAGCAAAGCCCAGGGTGTGAGCTTTACTACTTCCCAGGGTGTGAGCCTTAAAGTAAGGGAGTGAAGCACAAGTTCAGATTTTCCTGAAAATAATTAAGCCAGTTGCCATCAAGTCAGTTCCAACTCATGGTGATCCTACGTGTGTCAGAGCAGAACTGCGCTACACAGGGCTTTCAATGGTTGATTTTTCGGAAATAGATTGCCATGCCTTTCTCTTGAGGCACCTCTGGAAGTGGAGGTCATTAACCATTTCTACCACCCAGGAACTCCCCCAAAATAATGCTAACAGCTAAGATGTAGTAAGTGCCTATTAACTTGCAAGTGCATACAGATCTCATTTAACCCTCACAGTAGCCCAATGAGGGTATCCAGTATTATTCCCATTTTACAGATAAGGTTCAGAGATGTTAAATGTACTCCCAAGGCTTCCTGCTAGAAAAACCTGCATTCTTTATGGTAAGCTCCTCCCATCACAAATTCGCCCAGCCTCCTCGCTTTCTTTTATCCATGGGAACAAGATTGGAGTGTGTCCTTAGTATCTGTCTCAAGTTATGTTTTCTGGGCCTTTTCTTTCAGGCCTTACCCTGGGAGCCCAACTCCCCCAGTATTACCAGGTCCTCACAGCACCCATTACGAAGGTGAGTGGCCCCCCAGCCTCAGGCCCACCGTGTAGAGGAAAAGGGCTGGTTCCCCCTGAGGCTTCTGAGCCTTTCCCCTGCTGTTTTGCTGCCCCAGGTGCTAGATCAGTGGTTTGAGTCCGAGCCTCTAAAAGCTACTCTTGCAACAGATGCTGTGATTGGTGCCATGACCAGCCCCCGCACTCCAGGGAGTGGGTGAGTGAGAGGGTGAGGCGGGCAGCAGGAGAGGAGGCGTGCAGGGGAGAGTCTAAGAGTCAGACAGGCAAAGTCCTCAACAACAGCAGTAGCAACGTTGGCAGGAGCATCCACATTATTTACTGAGCTCACACAAGTGAGCCAGGTGCCAAGCCAAGCATTGCCATTGACATAACCCTCAAAGCAGCGCAGAGGAGTTGTGGTTCAGAGAAGGGAAGCATCCTTGTCCCAAGTCACACAGATAATAAGTGGCAGAGCTGACTTCCAACCCAGCTTGTCTGACTCCCAAAGAGCCTCCTTAACCCCCACTCCCTATTGTTGTTAGGTGCAGCCAAGTCAAGTCTGACTCATAGCATCCCCATGGAACAGAGTAGAACTGCCCCATAGGGTTTCCTAGGCTGTCATCTTTATGGAAGCAGATTTCCAGGTCTTTCTTCTGCAGAGCCACTGGGTGGATTCAAAGCACCAACCTTTCACTTAGCAACTGACCATTTAACTGAGCACTTAATACTGCTTCGCTATGACAGGGCTCCCCTTCACCGCGCATTATCATATGTCAACACTAATGCCTTCTTTCCACTCTCTCTTTCTTCTTGGTCTCTCTCACTCTTACTCTCTCTCATCTTTTTCCTTGCCATAAAGCCCTGCTGTCCCACCCTCCTCCACACCGTTCCTTTCCCTGCATCCCAGGAAAAGCTCCCCCACTGACACCTATGTGTGGACACAGAAGTCTGTCTGTCTTTCTCGGGGTGAGGGTGTGCTGACAGTCCAGGCCAAGAGGGGGCAGTCAGACACAAGCAAGTCTGTGGTTGTGGTCTGACTTAAGGAGCCCTTGTAGGAGCTGGAGTGGAGGGGCGTGGGCATGTGTGTGCATACATGTGTGCATGTGCTTGTGTGTGTGTGCGCATGCATATTGGGATAGAACATGCTGCCAACTGTTGAGCCATTTCCAGGGCACCAGAAGATGTACCTCAAATGTGGCTTTTTCCTGAGTGATGAGAGCACTCGCTGGAAGAGGTTTTCATTATATATGAAGCCAGCCCTAAACTCCCCAGAGCCATGGAGAAGGGGAGTGACCGCTCTTGGCCAAGCTCTGTGATCAACCAGCATATCCCGATCTTCCAGCCGAGGCTTTCCGTCCTTTTCTCTTTGGCTCTCTAGGAAGCTTAGCTACTGTCCAGACTGTGAAATGTGCCTTCAAGTCATTTGTTTCTCCATTAAATTTTTCGATGGTGGCTCACTCACCTGTGCTAGGTGCTGGGGAAACAGCAGTGGGTGGAGCTGAAATCCTAAAGGGAGAGAGAGACACAGAGCAGGTACGGATAGTGAAGTGCTGGAGGGTTATGTTAGGGGTCACACAAGAGATGAAGCAGGGACCCTTAACCTGGTCTAGACATCACGAGAGGCCTCTCCATCAGGAAGAGCTGTTTAATTGAGACCCAAAGGATAAGGAGGAATTAGCTCAACAAAAGACGTGGGAAAAAAGAAGGTTCCAAAGAGATGGAAAAGCATGTGCAAATGCTCAGAGGACTGTGTGTCCACTCGAGACCATAGTAATGCAGGGTGCATGGGAGAGAATGATGACAGATGACAAGTACCAGCTTCTATGCAGAGAAAGGCTTGCAGCGGAGAAAGGGAGGAGGTGATTAGGAGGCTGCTGCTGCAACAGTTTAAGGAAAATCAGAGAGGCCAAGCCAGGGCCCAGGCAGCAGGAAATGGCTGCATTTGAAAGACGCTAGGAGGCAGCGTGGGCACTGCTTGATTGGCTGTAGGTGGTGAGGCAGCAAGGTTGACCCTAGGTTTCTGTTGGAAACTGAAGGAGCTATTCACAGAGATGGGAAAGACTGAAACAGGTTGGAAACTAAGGGAAAGATGTCTGGCAAAAATCATCCAAATGGAGCTCTACCAGTGGGTAGCAGGACATAGGGCCTGGAGCTCAGGACAGAGCTGGAGTTCAAGGTCATGCGTCACAGGCATGCTGTGGGTAATAAAGCCATGTGCACAGACATGTTTGCTCGGAGAGAGAAAGCAGGATGAGAAAGCCATGTGCTCTTACAAGAGCCTGGAGCACATTGAAAGGCTAATGAGAAGGTTCTGGATGTGGGCGGGGAGAGGCTGGCGGTAAATGACAGGAAGGAATATTTGCATCAAAAACTCTGGGGAGATGAAATCCCACCTCTGGCCCTCGTCTCTTTCCAGGTATGTGCTGCTACATCATGTGATGGGGGGCCTGGAAGGGAAGCCGGGGGCCTGGAGCTACGTCCAGGGTGGCATGGGTGCCCTCTCTGATGCTATTGCAAGCTCAGCCACAGCACACGGAGCAACTATCTTCACCGAAAAGGTGAATGGCTCTCAAGGCTCTACCCCAGTGATTGGCCAGGGTCTCAGAGCAGAAGAGTCTCAGATTTGGATGGGCCTTCCTTTCCTGATGAATAGGGGGGTAGGGGGACTCAGAATTGGGGACTTCCCCAAAGTTATGCTACCTGTTAGGAGCTGAGCAACCAACCCCATTCTTCTGACCATCTCCGTTCAGCTCACGAGCCACTGAACTATGTTTGGGTTGATCCTTCACGCTGAAGGGGTGGGCTAAAGGTGTCCTGAGGAGTGGTAGGTCTAGACAGGGCTGGATTTGAAGGAAAGCTGTGAGGGCCTGAGAGAAGCAGAGACAAGGGTTGTCCCCCAAGATCCAACCAGGATCCCCCGCAGGGGGAGCTTCCAAGACCTCTTTCTGGTGGGCTTAGACAGTGGCCAAGGTGCAGGTGAGCAATGGAGGCCGTGTGCGAGGAGTCGTACTGCAGGATGGCACAGAGGTGAGGAGCAACGTGGTGCTGTCCAACGCGTCACCTCAGATCACCTTCCTGAAGCTGATGCCGCAGGTAAGGCCTGGGAGTGAGAAGGGAAGGTAGCTGCCAAAACTGGGGTCAGTAAGAGGGTTGTTTAGAGAGGCAGGTCTATATTGGGTGAGAGATATCTGAGCAGCTTGTGGGCAGCAGGCCAGGGGAGGCGAACCGTTCTCTGTCTCTTTCATCTATTGGGCAGGTAGCAACCAGGGCAGGGGCCTCACAGGTGAGGAGAAAGGTCCAGAATGTGAGGTGACCTAGACCATGTGGCTGACAATTGGCAGAGCCAGAGCTAGAACCCAGGTCTGACTTTCAATCCAGGGTTATTTCTGCACCTTTCCTGCTATCCTGATTTCTCCCTTTCATCAGCTCTAATTCCACCATCTGTGTCAATTTATTACCATATTAAGGCTGCATATCAAACAGCCACAAAACTTCCAGGCCTAGACCAATGAATACTGATTCAGCATACAGATCTGGAGGGCTCCAAGTTTGGCTGATCTGGGTACGCTTATGCACCTGAGGCCAGCTCAGCCCCCTAGTCAGTTCTGCTGATCTTGGCTGGGTCCATTCACATGCCTGGTGCCGGCTGGCTGAAGCTGGTCCCAGGTGGTTCCTAACGGGATGATTGGGTGACTCAGCTCTGCACCACGTTCTTTCATCCTCCAGCCGGGTAGTCCTGGCCTGTTCTCAGATCTGGCGGAGGGCAGAGCAAGTGTGGTTCGTCATGCAAGTGGTTTTCAGGCCTCTGTGCATCGCATTTGCTAACATTGGCCAAAACAAGTCTCATGGTTGAGCCGAGTCAGGGCAGGAGGACACTGCAAAGCTGCACAGAAAAGGGGTGTGGACACTGGGAGGAGAGGATTTGGCACAATGTTTGCAGTCACCTATACCTTCCCTGTCCCCAAGATATGGTAATATGCATCAAGCATGGAACTCCCAACCATTCTTGGGGACAAGGCACCACTTTTCTGAGTGATTCTACCAATAAAATTCAACATGTCGTTGTTGTTATTAAGTGCCGTTGGGTCATTTCCGACTCATAGCGACCCCATGCACAGCAGAACGAAACACTGCCCGATCCCGCGCCGGCCCCACAATCCCTGCTATACTTGAGCCCATCATCGCAGCCACCGTGTCAATCCATCTCGTTGAAGGCCTCTCCCTCTTTCGTCGACCCTCCACCCTACCAAGCATGACAACCTTCTCCAGGGAATGGTCCCTTCTTACAACATGACCAAAATAGGTGAGACAAAGTCTGGCCATTCTTGCTTC